CAAGAAAGAGTGTGTAAGGGAGGGAGGGAAAGAGCACAGCGTTACTGGAATGATGTTCTTGAGCTCTGGGCTTACATTTCCTTATGTTTAATTTCCATTTTAAAGCCTAATAGAGAGGAGAGGATGAGAAAGTGAGAAGGAGGGCGATGGGGAGGGAGAGAAAGGGGAGGGGGGGACAAGAAAGAGTGTGTAAGGGAGGGAGGGAGAGAGCACAGTGTTACTGGAATGATGTTCTTGGGTTCTGGGCTTACATTTCCGTATGTTTAATTTCCATTTTAAAGCCTAATAAAGTGAAGAATGTGACTGGTCTGTTTCTGATAGACTGGAACAATGTCATTTACTACATGGAAATATGAGCCGCGCGCATTACAACTTGGAGCACTATTTAAATCTTTGAGGCTTTTTTAGATAGCTTGTCAAGGTTGCCATTTGTTATCAGATTTCATTATGCTCCCATGAAATGGCTGATGGTTTCATTGTGATTAATGTTATTACAGAAAATGCCAGCTGGCCTAACAGTCTCTAAAACAATGCTTACAATAACCATGTTGACAATAAGAGTGATCTCAATGAGGTCTTTTTCACTAAAGAAGAAATGGGATTAGGCTTAAGTAAACAGCTCAGTGACTAAGTCAATGTATTTCACATTCCATATGTGAGAAACATGAGAAATAAGGAGGGTTTTTAGAGGAGGAGAATAAATCTGTATGTTACAGAAGTTTGCATTAGGGTGGGCGCTGGGGATGGTGGTTGTTCAAGGTGCTCCCAAGGGCAGAGGTCCCAGTAGTGGAAGTGTGTGGGGAACCATCACTGGTGTGTATCACCACAGTTTGGTTTGCAGTTTTTAAACCAAGCTAAGAAATATCTCCAAATCTGAAAGCAAACAATAGCGTGTGATTGCCACCACTTTTGCTTTGTTTCCCATTGCTTTCTATTACCATAAAATAGCTTTATCTTCTCTATCTACACAGATGCATGTGTGTATCCGGATTTTGCATCTTTCCTACGATTACACTGAGGGGAGAATGTATAATGGCCATGTATTGCTGAGCACTGGAGCTGGGAGCACGTTAGTGCACATGTGAACATCTGTGCATTTGTGTGTCCTCTGAGGAGGAGAAAATTGCTTTAATGATTTTTTTTTTGGGTGGTGGGGTTGATCTCACTGGGTGGCTTATTGGCTTTCTATTCTGGTTACAAATAGAGGCCTCACGTGCTGAGTCGTACAACTAGGAAGTTTGGAGATGGAAAAGATAAGTACAGAGCTAAAAATCTGGTCACAGAAATCACAGAATGCTATGGGGTTGGAAGGGACCTCTGGAGATCGTCTCGTCCAACCCCCTGCCAGAGCAGGTCCACCCAGAGCAGGTCCCACAGGAACGTGTCCAGGTGGGTTTGAATGTCTCCAGAGAAGGAGACTCCACCACCTCCCTGGGCAGCTTCTTCCAGGGCTCTGCCACCCTCACAGCAAAGAAGTTCCTCCTCATGTTCAGGTGGAACTTCCTATGTTCAAGTTTGTGCCCGTTCCCTCTTCTCTTGTCCCTGGGCACCACTGAGAAAAGCCTGGCCCCATCCTCCTGACACCCACCCTTGAAGGATTTATAGGTGTTGATCAGATCCCCCCTCAGTTTTCTCCAGACTAAAAAGACTCAAGTTCCTCAGCCTTTCCTCATAAGATTGAAGCTGAAAGGAATTCTCTAAAGCCATTTGGTCTTTCTTCTTGCCATTAAGACTTCTGTGGTCCATTTGAAAGGTCTCCAGTGCACAGCTGCCCTTGGAGACCTGTTGCAGAGCTCTGCTGGGGCCTCGGTGCTGCTGGAAAGGCTTTCTGGGTCCCTAACCTGAGTGAGTCTGTGGTGTAGCCCCAACATGAGGGCTGTGATTTCGGGCTGTTGCTACTTGGCCTGTCCATCCTCGTCAGGAAAATCACCATCTGGCAGCAGTTGAGTGGCTGAGTCAAGTAGCTCCCTTTTGTGGGGAGGGTAAATCAAACTGAAAATCATTGTGGAGAGTCGGACCAGGAACTAAGAAAAGCACTTGGGCTTTTTTTTTTCTGGTTTGGTATGAATTATATAAAAAACCCAACTGATCTTTGTTCGGTCACTTTGTTCATCTGTTTTTACCCTTCCTCTCCCTCGCTCTTAAGTTTTGTGCGGGCCATTTCCATCAACAACTGCCTTCTCTCTTTATCCAGTTGACAGATGGTTTCTTAACTATCTTAAGGTGGAAAATCTTCCAACAAAAATAACCTCTTTTCCCACAGAGACCACTGACTTTTTTTAATTGCAGGTGATGCAAAGGACTGGGTTTTTTTTTATAGAATAAGGCATTTTTTGCTAATTGGGGCAGTAAATTGCTTATCTGTGCTTCCTCAAGCAGTGATGTAGCTTGGTATACCTTGATGCAAATTCTGAGCAATTTTCTTACATAACAGTTGATTAATCAGGTTATTTTCCCCTGAGGCTGTGTACCAGTATAAAGTTCACATTGTGTGTTACATTCACCTGGAGATAAAAAGCCTTTTTTTTTTTTTAATTCAACCTATTTTCTTCAAATGTTAATCAAATCGGGCAAAAATTGGAAATAGCAGTAGTGAATTCTTAGATTGTGTTTAACTGTCCTGTGGTAGAATTCAAAAGGTATTTGGATGCTAGATGGTGTTTTGGAAACAAAAAGGAGTTGCATGTGTTTCTTTGAGGGTTTCTGAATTCCTTTTAGGACAACTATTTATGGTTTTTGGTGCCTAAGCACCTTTGACATTCTGGTTCTCTGCACCTTCCAAAGAGAAAAAAAAAATCCCTTCCTTTCCCAACTTCTAGCTAGTTAGACCCACTGGTGCAAGTTGGGTGGAGCTCCTGACAGAATTTCTTTTAAAGTTTAAATCACCAACAATCTTCAGGAATTTGCTAAACAGCCTTTTTTTCCTCTTATTAATACTTTAATGTCTTCCAAGGGCAATGCTTAGTATACATTGGAGTTTCCTTGGCAAAAAAAAATGTTGTTAAAATTGCACCCCTGAAAGTTGTGCAGCTGGAGGGCCAGCAGTGAGGGTCACCAGCTCTTCAAGCTGCTGGTGTTGTGGTCCTTCCCTTCCGCTCGAGTTCACTCTGTGTTGAGCTGAAAAATCAATGAGATGTTCCCTTCGGAAAAGAACTGGTGAATGAATGTTTTGAAATACCAATAATATGAGATTTGGCCCTATTTTGAAGCTGGTTGATGAAATTATGGGTCAAAGCATGAACTCAAGATAGCACTGTATCTATGGCTGGACATCTGTGGTTTTATCTTTGCAATTATTATTTATAATTCCTTATTTTAAACTTTGCTTCCTTAAAGCAAGAATAAGCAGTGACATCTATTTTTATAAACAGATGAGGATGCTAAATTCATACAAAATGTTAATACAGGAATGACAGTAATTATAGTCTCTAACATTGTCATTCTTCTAGATTTCAAAATTTGAAAAATTTACCCAGCAATACTCTGGGGGGGTCTGTGCAACCACTGGCATGTCGGTCCTCTTCAGCTCCCCAAAATAGTTCTCTGTGTTTAATTAGAATATATATTTTTAAACGGTTTCATTCCAATTTCATCCTTACTCACAATTGCTCTGTAGGAAATGTGGGTCTCTGTAGCAGTTGTCATTGAAAAAGATCTCTTTGCTTTATCCGTTTCTTTTCTTTGAAATCACCTTTGTGTGGTTTTTCCATGAATTTTTTCCATGCTTGCTCTTTCTTCATTCTTTTTATATTTTTCTAACATATCTTCTTTAATTATCCTTCCTATCTGGAACATCTAAGTGCACGCATACGGAGATACAAATAAGGACATATGTGTGTGTGTTTATGTAAATGTAATATATATGACATTATATGTATTAATATATAATATAGTCATGTGTCTGTAAGTACTATAAATACACACACAGACGTATATTTTTTCTCCTGGCACCTCTCTTAGTATGAAGAGTAGAGGATGGGGACGTAACATATTTCAGAAGCCTAAAGGCCAGCTCTGACAGCAGGGGCTGGGTTTGGAAGTGGCCGTGGACAGAAACCTTTCTGCCCTGCCAGATGGCAGCTGGGCTTTGGTGGCTGCTCTCAGTCCCCTCTGCAGGCTCTGAGAGCCCAGCTTTCCTTTGGCTTTTCTTTTTCACCGTTGGCATCCCCCTGGCTTTGGTGTTGGCAGAGCTCCGGAGCCAACTACGATGCCGCTGCCTCCCCGCAAGAGCACGGGGCAAGGGGAAGGTGGGGGGCTCGAAGCAGAGCCCCCTGGCCAGCATCCTTCTCACTGAAGGTTTCTTTTGTTCTTTATTAGCAAACAGAACAAGTATTATTCCCTTTTACACATAAATAGGTGGCCCTCCTTAAGACTTTAAATTCACTTGCCTGGAGCAAGTCCAGCTCTAATCCTTTCAATGAATGGAGGTGGGACTGTGCCTAAGAACCAGCTGGTTTACAACCCTCCCGGGTTTCCCAAAGCTACTACAGCCTCTAACCACTGCAATGTGAAAAACGGGTATTTTTATATCTCGATGCAATAGGAAATTATTCATTCTGCCTTGAGAGAAGCATATTTTCAATAAAGGAAATTCCTCTTTGTCTGATTTTCTTCTTGCTTTGCTCTCCTGTCTTACAGATGAGCTGGGAAATTAATGAGGCCATGAAATCTTGAGGGTGTTATAGTAGTAGGAAAAGTATGAGCTTGTTTAACTTTTTTTCCGTTCTGTGGTGGTTTAAAATGCATTTCCATGTTGCACAGGTATATTGGATAGTATCTAGTGTACAGAGAACTTTTTTTTTCCAGGGTAGTGTGAGATGTTAATAATTCTATGGGCTAGATTTTATTATGATTTATTTTTTTCCTAAAGATAGCTAGCTATGTCATATTTTTTCCATTCCTTATTGTGCAAACTATTTTCTAGTTGACCTTCAGCATTGCAGAAGGCTTATGAAATGCTGATAATCCAGCTTTAAAACGTTAATGTGATTTTTAATTGTTTTCCTCCTCCTTGCAGATGTTCTTGAAGGCTACAATGGCACAATCTTTGCTTACGGACAGACATCATCAGGAAAAACACACACTATGGAGGTACAGTGGCAAAATTAAATCAGTTTGGTGGCAGCAGTAGAATAATATGTCCCAATTACCTGCAGAAGCCAGTTATCTGGAGCACTCAGCTGTGAGTGACATATACAAAGAGATCTGGGGATGTTTAGCTTCTGTGCCTTTTAAGCCATAGTATTTCTTTCAATGTGGAGTTTTTTTCAACAGATGTCTATAGGTATCTACCTAAATTAACAAATAGTGAGTCAAAAACATCTCCCCGTTTGTGGTAACAGTTTAGGTTATGTGTATATTTTAAAGGGTTTGAGTGAGGTTTGTTAATCCATAAATGAAAACAGTAATAAGGGTCTGTAAGGGTCCCCTGTATGCGGGATAATGAAAATTCATGCCTGGGTTATTGGTTTTCTCATTTCCACTCCCCTTCTGGGAATACCACTCTTGCGTGCTGCAGCACAGAGGGATGAATTTGAGAATTGTTGAGAAGAATACCAAATTCCACAAAATTCCAGCGGCTGAAGTTCTCAGTCTGTTTATATTTCTGCTACATGAAGTGTGAGAGTGTCGGGTTTTTTTTCCTGTGGTGGTTTTTTTTTTCTTTTTTTAACTGTTCAGTTAGAAAATAGATGTGAGAGTGTCGTTTTTTTTTTCCTGTGGTGTTTTTTTTTTTCTTTTTTAAACTGTTCAGTTAGAAAATACTTAGATATTCTAGTCTCTGGCTAAAAAAGGCGGATCATTCAAGCATTTAATCCTCGCGTAGGATTGTTCCGTCGCAGTGCTGTACAAGCTGGATGTCTTGGAGCATTTCAGTTCAACTGTGAACTGTAATGCAGGAGGGCTGCAGCAAAGTTTGGCTAAATGAGAGGAAAAAAAACGAGCTTGCGTTTGTTTAACAGCATCAGATGGTTTTGCTACACGATTAACACGGGTGACCTCCCTAACCAGAAGGTTAAAGGAGATGGAAAGCAATATTCTCTCCAGCCAACGGGCCCTGGTGAAATTGCCGTTCGATTGCCACAGTTGCTCCTTTCCTGGAGGATGCAATAACTGATGCCTCGTGTCTAATTAAGTCTGTCCTTGGGAGGATGGGGATGGAGGGGGGAGCGGGGAGTGGAAATCACTAGCTCAGCCCTCACAGATGGCACAATGGCTGAGTAATCCACCAGCTCTGAATGTAATTAAATCAAAATGTCTGCAGGGCTTGAGCTGGTGCTTCCACATGGCGTGGGGAAAGATCTCGTAAAGCCAATTTATATTCAGAATTACAAGCTGCGATAAAGAAGATGACTGTAGAAAAATGGCTGTTTTACTTATTTAATAAAAAAAAAAAAAAGCTGTCATTTTAAAGTGGAATCAAGTCTATATTCAGTTTTAATCCCCCTTTTAACTGAACATCCTCTTGTAAAGTTGCTAAAGTATGTTGTGGAAGGAAAAAATAGTCTGTAGTTGAAGAAATGGTAAATCCTCTTGGTAAAGCTGTTATGGAGGATTTTCTGTGAAATGTGAAGTGCTTCAGAGTGTTAGTGTTAAGCTTAAACAGGACATGGTAGTATAATATAGCCAGGATAGGCTTTCTGACATCCATAGGTCTTTCTTCTGTGCTGGATAAAACATTTGCCAACCTGTATAGCAGGATATAGCCAAAACTGTCTTAAAAGTTAGTTATTTCTGCCCGTAAGATTAAAGCAATCGGCTTTGACCTTCCAGTCGAGTTTTCAATACTAAGTCCCTATAGGTTGTAGTTATTATGTCAACATCCTGAAATAAACCAGCAGTGCCTCAAATGTTACACTTCACTACCTACTGCCTGCCTGCTATGTTTAAATGTGGAAATTAATGTTCTTATTAAAATGAGAGGCTTTAATGAGCGGAGAACTCTCCGTCCTGGTGCTTTGGGGGAGTTCACTAACTGCAATGTCAGCGAGCCAGCTGCACACATTTCTCCAAACTCCTTCTGAGTTTATAGCTAAATCTTTTTTTTAATATATATTTTATTTCAACTTTCCAGTGACTAAGCCTATCTTTCCCTTTCTCTTCCCTCTCAGTTTATGGTCTCTGTAAATTATAGTGGGACCTGCTTCAATCATCTCTTGTTTTAATAAAAATCCACTGATAAAAAAGTAAAAATGATATTTTTTTTATCATATCATCACAGAGTGTTGGTGTTACAGTGTTTTAAAGATCTTAACTCTTTCTTCACAAAGTGTTGAATGTGATTTTGCTTCACTGAAGTTTCTACTGATTTAAACAGGGGGAAAGCCCAAGCCCAAGAGGTTGTAGATGCTGTGGTTGAGGTAGATGCACACTTAATCGTGTTTTACAGATTGCTTTCTCTTCTGAGCTAGAGAAAGCAATGTAAAGGAAAGCATTATTATTACAAGGGCTTGTTGGGGCTAGAAGGTTTAATTAAATACTTTTATAAGTTGTCACTTACCCAGAGCAATTTGTAGTTGTGTAGTTCAGTGACCCCAAAGCTGATGCACCTCTGTGCAGACAGAAGTCTCTGCAGCAGAAATTTGAATTCAAACTGGCCTTTGGCTGGGCCAGCAACCCAGTTTGGTCAAAACTACTATAGAAAAGGGGACACTGCATAGCATTCCTCGTTCTGTAGCTGCTTTTGCCTCTGCTGCCTTAGGAATCACGCATCCTGCAGTGCTATATAGCTTAGACATACCTTTGGGTGCATTCCTGTGCGCTGAGGACGTACCAGCAAATCTCTGTTTATTCTAGTTTAGGGAAAAACTCCTTTCCCCTCTTTGAGAAGACTCTCTCTGTGCAGTGATACAGGGGAGTCAGTTGGTTTCAGTGAGCTTTTCAAGGGCTTCTTCAGGGGGATGGGATGGAGAGTGGGAAAATTGTGTTGCAGTCTCTGCTCAGTAACAGTGTTATGGGATGGAACCGAGTGCTGTGCTGGCAAATTAAAACAAGAACAGACAGAATCCTCCTCGGACACTGGCCATTGAAGAAGAGAGGGCTGACCCCTTTGATCCCCCAGCTTTATACTGAGCATGATGCAGATGGGATGGAATAACCCTTTGGAGAGTTTGGGGTCACTTGTCCTGTCCCCTGTTGCAGGTGCAACCCCTCTGTGGTCTTCTGCTTCCAACCCTCCAACGTGGCAAATAAAAGTGAGCACACCTTGGTTGTTATAGCAATAAGTATAAGCAGGAGCCTCTCTGCACACCATCCCTTGGCATTCATTACAAACATCAGGCATTCTCACTGCCAGAAGCAGACACGGTCTGAAAAACATACCATTAATTTCAGAGGGTGCATTCAGGTAGAAGAGACTTGACTGAAAAGTATTATTACTGACAAGGAAAATTGGTTTTGTTCTGTCTCTGAGCAGGACACAGATCAAATCTGAATTCCTATGATTTGGAATTGTATGGTTACCCACTATATTATTTAAAAAAAAATAATTCCCTACCACTCTTTGGAGTAAGATGCTTTGTTGTGCTGATATGGGCAGTATTACTTGGACAAAGATATATTCAAAAGGTATATTAGAGTTTTGAGACTCTGTGTTCTGATGGAGTGTTACAACTAATGACTTGTTATTGTGTATTTAAGCAGTTTCATAAAACGTTTGGAAAATAACAATACAGCGTGTGCTGTAGTTGGAAAAGGATTATATTTTGAGTTAATATTTCTATTCCATTTTTAAGTGTTAGCTTTCCTGTACGTGTCTGGCTTTTTCAAACAGAGCAATACAACTAAAAGGAACCACGCAGCCAGGGAAATTGTTGTTTTTATTTAGTATTCAGTTCTTGAAAGAATAGAGGAAGGTAGTTGTGCATATTAACATGGAGTAGTGTTTGTAAGGCACGGTTCTCTGGCAACAGGCCCAGCAAGCTCAAATCAGAATATATTACTCTTAATCCCCAAATCCCCGCAACCCAGATTTCCCTTTAGCTTTCTAGCATTGTGGTGAAAGAGAAACAAAAAGCTTTAATACTTCTTGTTTGTGACATGTTTCCAAATACCTGATTTAACTAGGAAAACCAGGCTGTAATTTATATGTTTGTTTGTGTTTATTCCTCCATCTTTAATCGGAGAGTGACGGTGTAGCTAGCGGCAGGAGCTGACAAAACAGATAGGTGCTCCGTTGGGTGAAGAGTGCTAACACATTGAGTCATTCTGCCACCTTTTTGGTGCACTTAAATCAAATAAAATTCCCCCAAAGCAGCAGACACGTTCACGGGGGCCCCCACTGGAGGAAGGTGTGTTTGGCCAAGGCTTTCTCCTCTCCTGTGCCCACGCGAGGCTTTCCGAGTTACGGTTTGGTTTTGTGTCTGCAGGGAAAGCTGCACGACCCTCAGCTCATGGGAATCATTCCAAGAATTGCACATGACATCTTTGATCACATCTATTCCATGGATGAAAACCTGGAGTTTCACATAAAGGTAAATGCAGAGTGACACGTTACGCAATGGGTCGGGTGGAAGAAAGTCGAGCTGGATAGGAAATCTGATCCACACTAGAACATTCTGCTGAGGGATTTTTCCTTTCTCCCTTTTATAATTTGAAAAAAAACACCCAACACACTAAGGACATCTACTAGAAATAATCCCATAGAATTAGTTGCCTTTGAGAGACCTTTTTTTTTCAGCTCAGGTTTGCTAGTCCCTTGGTTGCCTTGTCTCTCTAATGCATTTGGTGGTAGCCAACTTGATAAGAAATAACACACTTACTTCACTGCAGCTTCTCCAAAGACCGTAGCTCAGCCCCACTAGTTAGGACCATAAATACCATTGATCCACATGACGTCTGTGAGAATATTGACAGGGATATAAACAGTCCTCCGTAGTATGGGGGTTTGAAATGGAGAAAAATGGCTCTACACAACTTATAGAAGGATGTTTAAAAGCAATTTTTAGCCCAAAAGTCATGGTCTAACTTGGTTTGAACAGCTACTATGTTTTACCATGTCCCTATCTTGATCCCAGCAATATGATTTCAAATTTTTTGAGTGACTTTTGATTCCTACTGTTCATCCAGTTTCCTGGGGAGCTCTCAGCCATGGGGGGGCATTGGTCCGTCTGGCCGAGTTGGGGTCAGGCTACAGCTTCCTTCCAAGCAGACATCAGTACAATTACCCAGTGGATTGCAGGAAAAATGAGTACTCTTCTGTGTCATCCATCCCTCAAAACGCACAGAACACACTTAGATGGCTTCAGTAAAGTTAAGTGGCTGAGCACAGGTAGAGTGTGAGAACACCGTCCCTTCTCCTGCTGTGACCAGGTGATGCTCTCTGAGAATGGAGCTCTCCTCTGTCCCTCTTGGGTCTGAAAGCTAGAGATGAACGACTTTTTAGTGCTGCATGGGTTAAAGCCCTTGAAGCACTTCTGGGGGTATATATGTGTATTTTAGTGCTGCATGGGTTAAAGCCCTTGAAACACTTCTGGGGGTATATATGTGTGTGTATATATATAGCAGAGTACCTCTGAACCAGCTTCTGATCTTCTGGAACAACTGGGTCCTCCTGTATTGAGAACCTTCTTAGCAGTGCCTGTTTGTGGGGGTGCCCATGACGTACAGAGAGAAGCAGCAGCCTTACCAAGTACAAATAAACCCTCTAAATATGTTAATGGACCTTAGATTGTGAAATATGGAACTCCTTAAGAAGCAACACCTCTGAATTTTTCTAGGAATGGCTTCCACAGGAGTGACACTGGTTTCTTTTCATCATCTGTAAAGCCATCCTATGGCTATTGCTGTTTCACTGGTTGCACTTGGATACACTTTGATAGCACAGATGGGGACCCCCTTGTACAAGACGTAGTAAATGCCTGTCCTGGCAGAAGATTATCACTTTATAAAACATGTTCTGCCGGCGCTGAATTGCTTCAGCGGTTTCCTATCCTCGTTGACGTTTATGAATATCTTAACAGAAAAGCTGCCTAAGTAGCTCTGAATGAGTGAGTGATTATACAAGGAGCTGTCATTGAGAGAAATGCATGTTCTGTCATTGGGAGCAAGAATTCAACCAAACTGTCAGACTCTTTTAATAACTGAGCCAACGTTGAAAATTAATACATTTTTTTTTCTCTCCCACTTTACTAGAGACCCATTTAGAACAGGGAGGGAAATTTGGTGTCTCCTGTGTGTGTTGGTCCTCAGCAGTGTGTTAATAGGATAATATAAAGCAAGTGAGTTATGTCTGGGTGAACCAGACTGTTGAAATGAGTTGGTCCAGAGGATGGATTTAAATGGGACATGGGTGAAGTAAATGCACAAAAGCCAAATATATCTGTCGTCAGGCAGGAAGATCAGCTCATCAGGCTAAAAAATGGGACATAATTTATTTTTCACATGAGACAAAACGATACTTTACTAAATAGCTAGAGTTTACTGACAGCTAGAATTTAACTGTCTAGTATTCTAGCTAAATAATCCCTGGATAAAGCTTATTTAGGGTAGGGTTAAACACCACCCCCCTAACACATTTCTGTTTGCTTCTGTGAGCTGAATACCCTTTTATTAAGAGAGTCAGTCATTCATTCATTCTCCCTCTAATTATTTTTTTTTTTTTTTTAGGACAGTTGTGCCTTTGTTACAGAAAAACTCATTTTCAGTTTCATCTTTGGGAATTGATTCGAGACAGAACTTTTACATATGCTTCATTTAAAAGTTTCTTTTAATATATATGTTGCTTAGGCTTATGTAACTGGTGTGTTAAACCACTGATGGGGCTGGTGAATATCAATATCTCTCTTACAGTTGTCAAACCTGACCCTCGTGATGCAGCTGTACTGATATGATAGCAAATTGATTTGATTCTGTTCAATATTTTTGTCAATTTTGCCTATGTGAAAAAAAAAAAGATTATAAGATTTGTCAGACTATTTTTTGTGTACTTTCCTGATGAATCAGTGATAAATGGAGAAAGATCAATGACTTGTGAATCATTCAAAATACTTTTGCGTTCACATGAAAGGTGTAATTCAAACAATGTGGGAGGTGGGGTTTATTTTTAGTTTTGTGCTTTATATTTTGACAGTTACAGAACTATAGGTACTGGGATTTTTAAATTGCCAAAGTTTAAATCTGTAATGTTTATGATTACTTAATTAGGTTTCCTACTTTGAGATATATTTGGACAAAATAAGGGACCTACTTGATGGTAAGTTCTGCATTTCTTATGTGACTTAGTGGTTTTTGGCTTGTTATAGTGCTTTGAGTCAATGCTCATGGGGAAACAGTTTCTTTCTTTGATAGTGATTTACATTTAAGCTGGATTTGTGAAAGAGAATTTTGCAGTTTAAGTCATCTGATCTCTGTCTCCTGTGCACCTACCGCTGCAGTGCGACGTAGCTTTGTTATAAATCAATGAGTACAGAGAATTTTACAGACTTCAAGACAGGTCTGAGCCTCATTGGCAATGTATATTCTTAAAGAAAAAAACTGTAATTTAAAAATTCATATAGTGTTCTGTTTGTAGGGCTCTGAAGGCACTGGGAAGGGACAGTGACGACAAGCAACAGCTTATTAAATTTAGAATACATTGGGTTCAACTTACTCCTTGCTTTGGTTCTGTTAGGTAGAGTTTGTTGGGAGGGATCTGTCTCTTTTACAATTTGGGTCTGTATATGCTTGCTGGAAGTTAATGAAACTGTGAATTATGTGTGTTGAATCAGTCTGAAGACAGAAATCTATGCAAATGGTAACACAAAACCAGTAGCGTGTATTTGGGCTTTTCTGAATTCCAATGAGTTCTTCTGTCTCTTTTGAAATTCTTGCTGTCTTGGCAAAATCCAGCTTGTTCTGTGTTTATTTTATTAATGCAAGCAGCGAACAAAAGCTTTTGTGCCATAAAGTTAACTTTAAAGAAACACGTACAAGATTGACAGAACAAGAAACAGGTTTTCTGTAGCAGAAATATTGGTAGTTTATAAGGAATGGGAAGCGACTACAATTCTCATTTACAAATTTAATACATTCATGGTATTTGTCTCTCATGCCTGCAGCTGACACATTATTACCTCGGAATATTCCTAATGATCTCCATCCTTTTTTGTAGTGTCAAAGACAAACCTCGCTGTACATGAAGATAAAAACAGAGTCCCATATGTTAAGGTACAAGGAAAATGTGACGCTCCGTTTTTCATTCTTTCTCACATATGCATTTATTTACACATTTCCATTTCTATCCCAGTGCGTTTGCTGAAATAATTCAACTCATGTTCTGAGTCTTGAATGTTCAAGTAGTATTGGATTTAGACAGTTTCCTGAAATATTAATGGGCTTGAATCATGTTTGCTTTATTTTCCTGACTTTAAACATTTACGTTTTGTTAGTATGGTGTTGAATTTTAAGTATTCATATTCCCATTTCACGTCAGATATGAAAGAGAAGAATTTTGTTCTTTAATGTTTTGTTCTTTACTGTTTTGTTGCATGGATGTTGTAATCTCACAATACTTTAAAACAGATTTGTTGGGTTAGGAATTTGTCTTATGACTTCCTTGGCCCTCAATTAATATCGCAATATATTTGTTATGAATGTATGTGAGCCTTAATACTATATATATAATATTTTTCTGTTTATTCTCATCCTGGGGAGGGCAAAAAAAAAAATGGATAAAATAATTCCTTCAGTAATATTGCATGAAGGCAGAGAACAAGGACTATGTACCTTGTCTTGTAGTTTGAGAGAGAAAAACAGGAATTACCAACAGGAAAATATGCCGTATCATTCAAAGTGTTCTACGTATAGAAACTCTTTTCCGTTCCATGTTTGGATTTGATCAAATCTTTAATCTTGTGAAAGAAAATTGTCCCTCAAGTTATCCCGTGGAGTCCTCCTGAAAGTCATACAGAGGCGTGTTTTGGTCCATTGCCTCGCTAATGATCATGGTGGCTGCTGATGAGTCTTCTCATTATTTTGTTCATCAGTGCTAAATACTCTTCCTGAGGGCGTTTGGAGTATTAGGACAGTTTCTAAACTTTTCTGTGTTCGACTTGCCTATTTCTAGGGTTGTACAGAAAGATTTGTATCTAGTCCTGAAGAAGTTTTGGATGTCATTGATGAAGGGAAAGCGAACCGTCACGTAGCCGTCACAAGTAAGTATTCTGGCTATAAAGTGCGGGTGGTAGTAGCTTCCCACTGATGTATTGATTCTTCATGTTCAGAGAGTACTTCAAATTACTTGAACAGTGTAATGATGTACATGATGTACAAATCACAGCACTCTAAAATTAATAGAGCTGTACTTTTTTTTTTACCACTTCACTGCATACGGAAACAGTTATTGACTTTCAGCTTTGAGAACTCCTGAATTTAATATATGGCGTTATATAGTATTGTTATATAAAGCCTCAAAATATGTACTGTCACACATAGTATAGATATTTTGAGATGATGTAGAGCTGAAATTATGTACGTGCACTCTTCTTTGTGCCACAAGTCAAGGACTCAGAGCAATTCACTGGTCAAATGGGAGGCAAAGACTGCAGAGCAGTTAGGGGGTTCTTGCTAGGTGAGGTTGAGTTCCAATGACGGCAAAGCAGACAAATCTTCCTCACTTGAAAACCAGAATATTCACTCCAGGCTGTGCCAAACGCGCTGCCGTTGTGTTGCGTGCAGGCTACCAGCATTACTGTGTTCAAAAGGGCAGGTATCTTTGGCTGGTTTCCCAATTTGTACTCTAAGATGTCTTTGATCCAAGCCATGAGCTTGGCAGAAACTCTTGTAGCTCCAATCTTTGTGCTGGAGTGAGGTTTGGGGCATGGGGTTTTTGTGCTAGCTTTTCCTTCTCTCTCTTTGATGCCCCTACCTTCTTGATTTGGTAAATACTATATTTCATTAGCTTTCCTGTGCCTTTCTCATCATACCAATAGAAATGTATCCTCTTCTTTTTCTGTGTAACATTTTCTCCCGTTGTTTCTGCTATTCTCTTTAACAAAAAATATCCAAATACACTTCTTGCTGTGATACTGCCTGTTGCGTTTGGTGCACCCAGAAAAGTTCTGACAGTTGACAGACATTGAATTTTACCTAGACTGAAAGGGCGAGGAGCAAATTTGGAAGTGTTATGGAAAAAAATGTCTTTGGAGGTGGAGGATAAAAAGGGAGTTAAGAAAAATATAAATATTGCTGTGAATGGGGAAAGGTGGTAGTGGATTTTAAAGTAACAGAGAAAGAGAGAAAAGAGATGAGAAAGGGGTTGACTGATTCTTAATGTTTTCTTTTTGCTACTTTATGAAACTTCAAGCACGATCTGGTTACAATCAAACTGGGAATAAGTGGAAGCTGAAACTGTAGCTGCCTGTGTTTCACCTGCTGCCTGGGTGAAGGAGGAGTTTTAATTCCATAAACAATAAAAATCACTGAATGTTTAAATTCAATAGTATGGTTTTTATGCAAACTTTTGCTAAAATATTGGGAAATTATTATTACTTCTCTTTAAATTTTCTTGCTCAACTCAAAATTATTCCTCTGCCCAGGATGCTGACCATACATCCTCATTGCAGTTCTGTGTCTAAATAGTGTATGTTATATCACAGCAGCTTTTTCTGTGAGCTGCCTATGTTCATGAAGAAACAAAAGGACAGAAGCTTTATTTTGTACTGTGTTAGTGAAATGTTATTTTATTATACTTATGCTATGATATTTTTTGTGTGGTTTTTTTTAACTATCTCTGGTCAAATTTTATAGCTTCAGGGGAATAAAAAAACTTTCAGAAAAGAAAGAAGAAAAAAAGAAGGGGTGTGTTTTGTTTTTTTTTTTTCCCAAGGCTACATTTTGTCATTAATCTGTTATTTTGGTGATGTTGGGAGAAAGTAAGAGCTCATTCTGTAGCCTATGAGATTTATTGCAGCTCTTGGTGTAGGTGCTGCTGTCAGAACAGTGGTCTGGGCTCTCCAGTCAATCTCCTCCTACTAGCCATAGGCTAGCTCTGATGAGATATCATTTCTTGTCAGGTTCTAAAGTCAATTAAACAAAACCTTTCAAATGTGATTGCAGATATGAATGAACACAGCTCTAGGAGCCACAGTATCTTCCTCATTAACATTAAACAAGAGAATGTGGAAACTGAGAAGAAACTCAGTGGAAAGCTTTACCTGGTGGACTTGGCTGGAAGTGAGAAGGTAACCTTTCCATTTTCCTAAAATGTGAATAATCCTGCTGGGGCCACTACATTGAGCATGTGAATGTGCAAATTAAGCTGGGTTTTACAGAAGTCTTATCTTAGGTCATCGTTAGTATGGCAATTGGGTTTTTTCTTCTTCTTTCCTTTTTTTTTTAATGTGGGATGGAGAAAAGCAGCAGATCAGAACTGTTGGTATGAAATGCAAACCCTAAAAATCTGCAATATATCTTCACTTATAATGAAGTGGATCGAACCAGTGTACTTCTATACAGCTTCACATTTAGTTATGGGTATTTGAAGAAAGTAATGTAATTTAATGTAATTTTTCAAATTAGAACAGCTATTTTAGCTTTCTTACATTCAGTTATGTCCTATTTCTAGGTTTTCTGTAATTATTTCATGTATTAGATCAATGAAATAATAGCAGTTAATGCAGTTATACAGCTGAAGTCTATCAGAAGCTCCCTGAAACAGTCTCTTGATTGTGGTGACTATTTCTGCTCTTCAGTATAGAAAAATACTAACCAGAAAAAAAACTGTATCTGTTTACCAAAGGACTAATGGTCTAGAACAGTACTGCAGTGGGAAAATGTCATTGTTTCCCACTTCTCATTCTAACATCTTCTGGAGAGTTCAAAATTGTTTCATTGTAAATGAAATAAATGATAAAACTCATCATTTAGCAACGCTATGGAGTTTTTTATTCAAGCTGGATCCTTGGTAACCCCTGTGCATGTCAGAATAGTTACTCACGATGAAGCAACATCTCTCATTGTGGTCAGAGATTTCTATTTCTTTCTGAAAATGAGAAGTAAAAGAAAAGGTTGTGTTTGATAGGCTGGGCAGCTTTCACAATGCTCATGGGAACACACAGTTGATAACCCATCAGTACAATGGGGAAGCCATTCACCAGAGGAATTAATCATGTTAATTTCTATTATTGCATATAATACTACATGTTAAATTAAAAACTCTTAGTGGTGTTTAGAAGATGAGTGCCTAGTCAGGCTCTGCTCTCCTCTGAAAACTACACTTTTGTTTGTTTGGGTGTACAAAAAACCTGCAATAAGGGTTCCCTTGGTAGATTGTCTTCTTAAAAGATACAATTCTGTTTCCTTTTGTCACATGGTGTTTTAAGGGGAAACTACAGATACTGTAGTTTTAATGTAGAGAAAAATGTATGGCTTCATCCTACTTTTCTGTGCCCTTCCCCACTTACCCCACTCCCCCCCAAAATAGAGAAAAGACTGTCAAACCATGTTGCTGTTTAAAAGAGTGCTGGTTCCAGGCCACCAAGCTTCTTGTCTGGGCCACTTTGGGATCCAGTTTGTAGACTGGTAAACTTCGAATTCAGGATGAGTGAGATCACACTTTTTCTGTCCTGACATTCTTGGTCCATGTAAGCAGAATACAAAGCCAAGATACTTGTTTGGTGGCACATTCTGTGCCACTGAGAGTACACCTGTGGTGTTCCCCATCTCTGTGGACAGTCTGGTCTTAGAAGTGGTCCCCAAGTATCCTCAGGAGAGCACGAACCTACCAGCTTTTCCCTGAACGACGTAAGGGTCAGCTTGCTGTTACACTGGAGGAAAGGTGGAATTTTTACAGGCTTCTACTAACAAAAAAGTGCGTATAAAATTCTCCTCCTTCATGCTGAGGGATAACCTTGCTTTGTTTTTCTTCCAAGAGCATCTTTACTGGTTGCAGTATCTCCTTGTAGCTGTGTCTGTAGAGGCTCTTGCCCATGGCTGAGCCTGACTGTTGCCTGCTCTCTTTGGTAGGTCAGCAAAACCGGAGCGGAGGGCGCTGTTCTTGATGAAGCTAAAAATATCAATAAGTCTTTGTCTGCATTAGGCAATGTGATATCTGCCTTGGCAGAAGGAACTGTAAGTAATCCTGTTTTGTGTTGTTGAAGAATGGCTTTTTTATCTATCTGTTTCTTTGCCACGCACATAAAAAAGTCAGCTAACATTTCAATTCTGAAAGAAGAAAATATTAGCTTTCCAGCCACAAACCAGTCACGCTTTTGCTCTTCCACTGAAGATAAGAAACTAATTCTCAGAGATTTCACTTGAGTGATTATCCAATCTTAGCACAATCAAAACAATTACTCTTCAGGATTGCATGCTTCAGATCCATTAAACCTGTCATTGTCGACTCATGTTCTCTCCCATTACGATATCATTACTTAAAGAAACTTGTTCTTGTCTCTTATTTATACTTTGATTAGAAAACCCATGTTCCGTACCGAGACAGCAAAATGACCCGAATACTTCAGGATTCCCTCGGTGGGAACTGCAGAACCACCATCGTGATATGCTGTTCTCCTTCCGTGTTCAACGAAGCAGAAACAAAGTCCACCCTGATGTTTGGCCAACGGTGAGTCCCACTTGGCATCAGGCTGGATGACGCTCGGACTCTTCCACGCGTTTCCGAGCCGAGGGGAGCAAGATGAGTAGGCACTTTAAAATATAGAGGTTATGGTTTCTGGAGTTGTTCAAAAATAGTACTGGAGAACTTGAGAAAACTGTCTCTTCATTCCCTGTGGTACCATAAAAATAAATGTTAATGTTGGCCGGCAGCTGCGCTGCTTAGAAGCTCTGGTAGTTTTTCCTGTAGAAAGCACAAAGTGCTATTGGAGTACTTTGAAATTTTATGGGGAAGATAATGGTATTGGGCGGTTTTCTGTTGGCTAATAGTGGAAAACATTCGGGTTTGCTCTATCTGATGCTGCTCTTGATGCTTTTAAGATGTGTCTTCTCCTTGAACGGCATCTCAGGATTTATTGTAATGGCTGTAAAAAATGTTTTTAGCTGTGAACAAAAATGAAGAATGTGGACTCTGTGTAATATTGACAACTTTAATAGATTAACCATGATAGCTCATGGACATTTTTATGTTTGAAGGGTTTTAACAGTTTAGGAACAAGTCTTCAGAAACAGGTGAGGATAAAATAACCGTGGAAGTATTTGAAAGGAACATTTCTCTTCCGTATGTGTTCATTTGGAAAGAAATAGTCAGGCTCATGACGTAATTACTGCTTTTGTTGTTATTGAGGAGAACTCTGATCCTTTTTAAAAATACTCATTTTGGTTTATTTGTGTAATAGCAAAAAGAAGAAAATACTAGCAAGTTATGATTGTTTGAAATAGAATTTCTTTAACAGTTTGTACAATACAATAAATTTATCTTTGTCTGAAAATAGGTTGTTTTCCACCATGCATAATTTTTGCATTGAAACCCACGCTGTTAGGGAACATTTTATATTGAAAAGTCAAATCATGGATGAAAGATGAATATCACAATCTTCTTTTAATTCACTTTTATCCTTTAATGTGAGTTTTCCTTAGATTTTCTTAGGGAAGATGATTCCTTTATTGTATATAAAAGTGCAGGCCAGACAGCTGCAGTTGGATGCAGTCCCTCTTAGTGGAGAGTTGTGGATTAGTGCAGGTTTTCTGCCACACGCTCTCCATCTGGCATTGCCAGAGCCAGTATTAACTTGTCCTTGTCACCTGCTGCTGGGATTTGTGGAAGGTGGGGAGGGACCCACGTGTGTTCAAAAGGGCAGGTATCTTTGGCTGGTTTCCCAATTTGTACTCTAAGATGTCTTTGATCCAAGCCATGAGCTTGGCAGAAACTCTTGTAGCTCCAATCTTTGTGCTGGAGTGAGGTTTGGGGCATGGGGTTTTTGTGCTAGCTTTTCCTTCTCTCTCTTTGATGCCCCTACCTTCTTGATTTGGTAAATACTATATTTCATTAGCTTTCCTGTGCCTTTCTCATCATACCAATAGAAATGTATCCTCTTCTTTTTCTGTGTAACATTTTCTCCCGTTGTTTCTGCTATTCTCTTTAACAAAAAATATCCAAATACACTTCTTGCTGTGATACTGCCTGTTGCGTTTGGTGCACCCAGAAAAGTTCTGACAGTTGACAGACATTGAATTTTACCTAGACTGAAAGGGCGAGGAGCAAATTTGGAAGTGTTATGGAAAAAAATGTCTTTGGAGGTGGAGGATAAAAAGGGAGTTAAGAAAAATATAAATATTGCTGTGAATGGGGAAAGGTGGTAGTGGATTTTAAAGTGACAGAGAAAAGAGATGAGAAGGGGGTTGACTGATTCTTAATGTTTTCTTTTTGCTACTTTATGAAACTTCAAGCACGATCTGGTTACAATCAAACTGGGAATAAGTGGAAGCTGAAACTGTAGCTGCCTGTGTTTCACCTGCTGCCTGGGTGAAGGAGGAGTTTTAATTCCATCAACAATAAAAATAACTGAATTTTTAATTTAAATAGTATGGTTTTGATGCAAACTTTTGCTAAAATATTGGGAAATTATTATTACTTCTCTTTAAATTTTCTTGCTCAACTCAAAATTATTCCTCTGCCCAGGATGCTGACCATACATCCTCATTGCAGTTCTGTGTCTAAATAGTGTATGTTATATCACAGCAGCTTTTTCTGTGAGCTGCCTATGTTCATGAAGAAACAAAAGGACAGAAGCTTTATTTTGTACTGTGTTAGTGAAATGTTATTTTATTATACTTATGCTATGATATTTTTTGTGTGGTTTTTTTTAACTATCTCTGGTCAAATTTTATAGCTTCAGGGGAATAAAAAAACTTTCAGAAAAGAAAGAAGAAAATAAGAAAGGGTGTGTTTTGTTTTTTTTTTTTCCCAAGGCTACATTTTGTCATTAATCTGTTATTTTGGTGATGTTGGGAGAAAGTAAGAGCTCATTCTGTAGCCTATGAGATTTATTGCAGCTCTTGGTGTAGGTGCTGCTGTCAGAACAGTGGTCTGGGCTCTCCAGTCAATCTCCTCCTACTAGCCATAGGCTAGCTCTGATGAGATATCATTTCTTGTCAGGTTCTAAAGTCAATTAAACAAAACCTTTCAAATGTGATTGCAGATATGAATGAACACAGCTCTAGGAGCCACAGTATCTTCCTCATTAACATTAAACAAGAGAATGTGGAAACTGAGAAGAAACTCAGTGGAAAGCTTTACCTGGTGGACTTGGCTGGAAGTGAGAAGGTAACCTTTCCATTTTCCTAAAATGTGAATAATCCTGCTGGGGCCACTACATTGAGCATGTGAATGTGCAAATTAAGCTGGGTTTTACAGAAGTCTTATCTTAGGTCATCGTTAGTATGGCAATTGGGTTTTTTCTTCTTCTTTCCTTTTTTTTTTAATGTGGGATGGAGAAAAGCAGCAGATCAGAACTGTTGGTATGAAATGCAAACCCTAAAAATCTGCAATGTATCTTCACTTATAATGAAGTGGATTGAACCAGTGTACTTCTATACAGCTTCACATTTAGTTATGGGTATTTGAAGAAAGTAATGTAATTTAATGTAATTTTTCAAATTAGAACAGCTATTTTAGCTTTCTTACATTCAGTTATGTCCTATTTCTAGGTTTTCTGTAATTATTTCATGTATTAGATCAATGAAATAATAGCAGTTAATGCAGTTATACAGCTGAAGTCTATCAGAAGCTCCCTGAAACAGTCTCTTGATTGTGGTGACTATTTCTGCTCTTCAGTATAGAAAAATACTAACCAGAAAAAAAACTGTATCTGTTTACCAAAGGACTAATGGTCTAGAACAGTACTGCAGTGGGAAAATGTCATTGTTTCCCACTTCTCATTCTAACATCTTCTGGAGAGTTCAAAATTGTTTCATTGTAAATGAAATAAATGATAAAACTCATCATTTAGCAACGCTATGGAGTTTTTTATTCAAGCTGGATCCTTGGTAACCCCTGTGCATGTCAAAATAGTTACTCACGATGAAGCAACATCTCTCATTGTGGTCAGAGATTTCTATTTCTTTCTGAAAATGAGAAGTAAAAGAAAAGGTTGTGTTTGATAGGCTGGGCAGCTTTCACAATGCTCATGGGAACACACAGTTGATAACCCATCAGTACAATGGGGAAGCCATTCACCAGAGGAATTAATCATGTTAATTTCTATTATTGCATATAATACTACATGTTAAATTAAAAACTCTTAGTGGTGTTTAGAAGATGAGTGCCTAGTCAGGCTCTGCTCTCCTCTGAAAACTACACTTTTGTTTGTTTGGGTGTACAAAAAACCTGCAATAAGGGTTCCCTTGGTAGATTGTCTTCTTAAAAGATACAATTCTGTTTCCTTTTGTCACATGGTGTTTTAAGGGGAAAGTACAGATACTGTAGTTTTAATGTAGAGAAAAATGTATGGCTTCATCCTACTTTTCTGTGCCCTTCCCCACTTACCCCACTCCCCCCCAAAATAGAGAAAAGACTGTCAAACCATGTTGCTGTTTAAAAGAGTGCTGGTTCCAGGCCACCAAGCTTCTTGTCTGGGCCACTTTGGGATCCAGTTTGTAGACTGGTAAACCTCGAATCCAGGATGAGTGAGATCACGCTTTTTCTGTCCTGACATTCTTGGTCCATGTAAGCAGAATACAAAGCCAAGATACTTGTTTGGTGGCACATTCTGTGCCACTGAGAGTACACCTGTGGTGTTCCCCATCTCTGTGGACAGTCTGGTCTTAGAAGTGGTCCCCAAGTATCCTCAGGAGAGCACGAACCTACCAGCTTTTCCCTGAACGACGTAAGGGTCAGCTTGCTGTTACACTGGAGGAAAGGTGGAATTTTTACAGGCTTCTACTAACAAAAAAGTGCGTATAAAATTCTCCTCCTTCATGCTGAGGGATAACCTTGCTTTGTTTTTCTTCCAAGAGCATCTTTACTGGTTGCAGTATCTCCTTGTAGCTGTGTCTGTAGAGGCTCTTGCCCATGGCTGAGCCTGACTGTTGCCTGCTCTCTTTGGTAGGTCAGCAAAACCGGAGCGGAGGGCGCTGTTCTTGATGAAGCTAAAAATATCAATAAGTCTTTGTCTGCATTAGGCAATGTGATATCTGCCTTGGCAGAAGGAACTGTAAGTAATCCTGTTTTGTGTTGTTGAAGAATGGCTTTTTTATCTATCTGTTTCTTTGCCACGCACATAAAAAAGTCAGCTAACATTTCAATTCTGAAAGAAGAAAATATTAGCTTTCCAGCCACAAACCAGTCACGCTTTTGCTCTTCCACTGAAGATAAGAAACTAATTCTCAGAGATTTCACTTGAGTGATTATCCAATCTTAGCACAATCAAAACAATTACTCTTCAGGATTGCATGCTTCAGATCCATTAAACCTGTCATTGTCGACTCATGTTCTCTCCCATTACGATATCATTACTTAAAGAAACTTGTTCTTGTCTCTTATTTATACTTTGATTAGAAAACCCATGTTCCGTACCGAGACAGCAAAATGACCCGAATACTTCAGGATTCCCTCGGTGGGAACTGCAGAACCACCATCGTGATATGCTGTTCTCCTTCCGTGTTCAACGAAGCAGAAACAAAGTCCACCCTGATGTTTGGCCAACGGTGAGTCCCACTTGGCATCAGGCTGGATGACGCTCGGACTCTTCCACGCGTTTCCGAGCCGAGGGGAGCGAGATGAGTAGGCACTTTAAAATACAGAGGTTATGGTTTCTGGAGTTGTTAAAAAATAGTACTGGAGAACTTGAGAAAACTGTCTCTTCATTCCCTGTGGTACCATAAAAATAAATGTTAATGTTGGCCGGCAGCTGCGCTGCTTAGAAGCTCTGGTAGTTTTTCCTGTAGAAAGCACAAAGTGCTATCAGAGTACTTTGAAATTTTATGGGGAGGATAATGGTATTGGGCGGTTTTCTGTTGGCTAATAGTGGAAAACATTCGGGTTTGCTCTATCTGATGCTGCTCTTGATGCTTTTAAGATGTGTCTTCTCCTTGAACGGCATCTCAGGATTTATTGTAATGGCTGTAAAAAATGTTTTTAGCTGTGAACAAAAATGAAGAATGTGGACTCTGTGTAATATTGACAACTTTAATAGATTAACCATGATAGCTCATGGACATTTTTATGTTTGAAGGGTTTTAACAGTTTAGGAACAAGTCTTCAGAAACAGGTGAGGATAAAATAACCGTGGAAGTATTTGAAAGGAACATTTCTCTTCCGTATGTGTTCATTTGGAAAGAAATAGTCAGGCTCATGACATAATTACTGCTTTTGTTGTTATTGAGGAGAACTCTGATCCTTTGTAAAAATACTCATTTTGGTTTATTTGTGTAATAGCAAAAAGAAGAAAATACTAGCAAGTTATGATTGTTTGAAATAGAATTTCTTTAACAGTTTGTACAATACAATAAATTTATCTTTGTCTGAAAATAGGTTGTTTTCCACCATGCATAATTTTTGCATTGAAACCCACGCTGTTAGGGAACATTTTATATTGAAAAGTCAAATCATGGATGAAAGATGAATATCACAATCTTCTTTTAATTCACTTTTATCCTTTAATGTGAGTTTTCCTTAGATTTTCTTAGGGAAGATGATTCCTTTATTGTATATAAAAGTGCAGGCCAGACAGCTGCAGTTGGATGCAGTCCCTCTTAGTGGAGAGTTGTGGATTAGTGCAGGTTTTCTGCCACACGCTCTCCATCTGGCATTGCCAGAGCCAGTATTAACTTGTCCTTGTCACCTGCTGCTGGCATTTGTGGAAGGTGGGGAGGGACCCACGTGCTGGAAGCCAGGTAGCTGCAAAAAGCACCAGTTCCTCCCATTGCTGCTTCCTATAAGCTACTCGCTTAAATAACAGCAAAAAAAAACTCCCCAAAGGGAACGTCACAGGTCTCTGCAGTAAATTTTTATGGAAAAGTGGTCGTTAACATATAATTGGGTCAAGGGTCACTGTGCAGCTTTAGTTCCCCAGTTTATGATGAACCTAAGTTTAAGTTATTGAAGATGTAAGCTTCTGCTGACAACCCATATATTATAATGTGCATCACAGAAACGTTGAGTAAATGCAAATTTGAAGATGCAGTAATTAAATAAAGAGCCTTAACAATTCTGAAGTATAATGAGTTGCACAGTTTTTGTTGATGGTAAAAGCTTCGATGTTTTGCTGGTTCACAGTTTCAACCTCCCCACGTCCAATTTTCTGACTGCAGGTGATTTCATCTTGCACCTCTCTAGAACAGAAGAGCTGTCCTGAAGTTCCTGCTGATTCATTCTGGATAAAACTCCAGGGCAGGAGCACAGTGCAGGGACATTTCAATTTTTAATTGATGAGTAGGTACTTCGTTAGGTTTCAGCCTGCTCTGTCTGCAGGTACGGTTTGAAGTAAATAGAAATGTAAGCAGTAAAACATAATAGTTCAGATTAAGGGGATTAAAAGGTAGTGTAGCTCTTTTTAAATTATTTTTTTTAATCTGGATTAAAGAGGGTTTGCTTTTGCTTTGTAACATGTAACAGTGCTCCAAGATCTCCGGGCAGTTGTATGTTTGGCTACTTGAGGAAGTGTGTGTAGAGGAAGTCTGGGTTATTTCAGTTTACATTTCTCATGGGTTTCTTTCTCTTCCCAATAATTGGTAAAACTTGCCTTTCTTTTGGGGACAGAATAGTTTTCAAACTGGCTGCTCACCTCCTGGCTAGCAGAGCTTGGGGTGATGTGACTAACACTTTTCTAGGAAGAGGAACATTTGTAAGCTGTTCCTTACTGAGGACTGGGATGTCGGGTGAAAGCACTGGGAAAATAGCTAAATACTTCCTGGGAGTGCTTGGTTGGGGTTTTACTGTGGGGTTTGTGTTTGTTTGCTTAGGAGCTAGAGAATTGGGCTGAAATGGGAGTTCCTCGTGGAGAACTTTCAGTTGTTAGGAAGGAAATACCAGCAGGAGGACTGGTGATGGAGCGGACCCGCAGAGCAGCACACAGGCTATATGTACAGAGTGTTATTTGTCAGCATTTTGGATAGGAATATTGCCATCTCCGGGAAACAGTTTCTTTTACAGGCTCTTGGGTTGTGGTGTTTCATTTTTCTGATGTGACAGTATTAAGGGCCTGAATAACATTAAAGGGAAGGTACATGAGTCATGGGTGATTACTGGTTCCTCCATCTTTCCCAGCAAGAAAGAATTATATCACCATTAAAATAAGTGTTAGGAGTAAAATTCATCTTCACGGGCCCATTTACACAAATCAACACGTGCCTGTGCTCCTCTGCTAGTAGTGAATTGGCTTCTTCTCTTTCTGCTCCATCTTTTCCTGTGTTTTTATATTGTTTTTAATTCTAGTTGCTAGTAAGTACTTCATCCATCATTAGGGTAATGCAGTCGATGAACTTAATGGTGTGGCATTTTTTTTCCCCCTGGTGCACTTCAATGAGTGGAAACTTGAGCCATGCTTTTGACAGAGACAATATGTAAAAGCCAACTATTAGGCATCTGCATATTTTAAAAGTACAGGGTTATTTTAAAATGTTTCTAAGGTAATAAAACTCTTGCTTGCCACATAGTGCAGGTCACTGGAGCGCAGTTTGGAGGATGAGGCACAGATAGGGGAGTGTTTTCTTGCTGACAAAACAAAGTTTGGGGATTTTTAGTGATTGGCCACATTTAAAGGATGCTTTAGAATCGCTAAGTGGAGCTGTGAAGAAAACAATTCATATTCTATGCCCTTCCCAAAGGAGAGTTTGCCCTTATATCTCTAGCCCATTCCTAGGCTTAGTTTCTTGCACTGACGTTTCAGTCTACGCTTTACAAACCAGTGGGAGGTTTGTCTGTTATTCCTTTATTTAGCCTCTTTTACCCAGTAACACTGGAGTCAGAGGGATTCAGTGTCTGAGCAGTGAAGGGCAAAGATCAGAAGCTTTCTTAATTCGTACTGATTAGTTTGATTTCTCTGTTTAAATGTGGATTTGCTAGAGCAGGTGCAGTGCGGTTTTTCTGCTTGGTTTGCATTTTCTGGTGGGATTGTTTAGGTTCAGCTGGAGCTAAGCACTTTCACAATAGTAAAGTGGTGGCAGTTGTTGTTAGAAGGGTTTAAATTTTGTCATTTTTGCCTAGAGAGGCAGTAACTCGTGAGCAGTGGCACAGGCACGAGTTCGGGCTCCCTTCCCCCTGAAAAGGGAACTCCTCAGCCCAGCAGTAGTCCAATTACCCAGTGGTGACCAGTGGTTCCCCTCCTTCCCTTCTTTTCACTCCCACACATGTATTTGGAAATGTTATTTGGCTTTCAAGAAGGATAAGGTTCCATAAGTTTGACACTGAAAGAGGGGAGATGGAGCTGAGATCTGGGGAAGAACTTCTTTGCTGTGAGGGTGGTGAGAGCCTGGCCCAGGTTGCCCCAAGAAGCTGTGGCTGCCCCATCCCTGGAGGGGTTGAAGGCCAGGTTGGAGGGGGCTTGGAGCCACCTGGTGTGGTGGGAGGTGTCCCTGCCCAGGGCAGGGCGGTTGGAACTCGATGATCTTTAAGGTCCTTTCCAACTCAAACCATTTGATGAGTCTATGATTCCATCTCTGCTTCACTGTGTTGATGTCCTTCATGCTGCAACATATGGCTGAGTTTTGTTGGTGGAGTTGTTCAGAGATGGGGCGAGCCCGTGGTCAGATGCTGTGGGGAACTCTATGGTGGGTCCAGGAGAAGCTGCGAGGTGACAGGTTACCTCACAGAGCAACAGTGGCAGGTCTTGGTTTTGTCCTTAATCCAAGAACAGTTTCCAGAAATTCTCTTTTTGGAGGAATCTGAAGAGACAGATCCATGTCTAACTGGTCACTGGAAGAATTTCCATTGAGGTTTCAAGGTAGTAATGGCACTGAGGGTTTGAGAGAAAAAGGAATTGTGGCATTGAACTTTAGAAAATAAATTGCAAATGTTAGTAGTTTCCCTTTGTATTATGGAAAAAATTATGAATTCTTGTACGGAGATAAAAGTTGCAGAGCAACTGACACCTGGTTTTGTTGTGCAGAGCCAAGACGATCAAGAACACGGTGTCTGTGAATCTGGAGTTGACCGCGGAGGAGTGGAAGAAAAAATACGAGAAGGAGAAAGACAAAAACAAGAGTCTAAAGAATGTTATTCAGCACCTAGAGCTGGAACTGAACAGGTGGAGAAACGGTACGTATCAGAAAATGGGAATGGGTACGTGCCTTTGTATTTTTAAATTACATAGGTTTAAATCTTGCCTTAAATCACAAAGAGTCATATTATTTCTAAGCCCACCATTCAGAGCTGGAGCTCACGCTTCATAATAAAAACTGAAAGGGGCAGAAGCAAAAACCAGGGAAACCAGCAGCAGCCATTTACAGAAGGTACCATTTTCAATGCCAAAGCTGGTGTGACATCAGATGTAGCCAATACAGGAAGGCATTGATAATTTTAAATAATGTTAATCATATTAACAAAGAAAAGGTAAAATGCCATTATGATTGGTTGGTTTTTTCAAAGAACTCTGCTCTTCAGGCCTGACAGTCAGTTCCATTATGCTTTAAGATAACTAGATCTTGGTGGGTGGGGTTTTTTTTAATAATTGAGTTTACCATTAGAGTAATTAGTCCTTTAGTACAATGATTAGGAGTGTCATCTGATTGATGAATGACTACTCGTTTCCTTCTGTGGCTTCTAAGTGAAATTTATGTTGAGAACAGCCAATTTTCTGCTTAGAAACAGAGAGAATTGCCGTTCAGGGTAGGTTTGTATGATCAAGTATGGGATGCTAGAGGAGGAATAATATTTTTGTGCATAAATGCAAATTAAAGAATTTTTATTTAATTTGGAACGTGGACAAATAATTTTAGCAAACCATCCTTGCTTTTTGTTTTTATTCCATGTATTAAAAAAAAAAACCAAAAACCCCAACCCCCATGCCAATTAGAAGCAACAAACAAACAACACCCCAATCCCCAAAACCCAGCCCGGAACCCTCTTGCACCCTGAAATCCCAACAACCCCAACAGTAAAATACTGCTTCTTTGGAGTCATTTTTCTTTTCTAAATTGCTTTTCATCCCGGTCCTACGTGTTGATGTATCTCACAATCCAAGAGTACGTAACTCTTGCAAACGTGGAGTATCTAAAGCGAGAACAGATCTGTGATTGAATGATTAGTCACAATTGAATGATTAGTCACAATTTGTTTGGCACAGTCAGGTCTGGTTTTGAACATCCCTGGGTGAAATCGCCGCTTACAAGATAATACCTGACCTTTATGGGGGCGAAAAATTGTTTCCTCTTGCAGCTGCCTCTGCTGTTTCCTTGCCTTTCAAGATGAGATCGTTACCTAATGATTGCTCTCCCTGCCTTTCTCTGGAGATTTGGGTGCAGGGAATATTTCCCTTATCAGCGCAGCCCAATTGCTATGGAGACGGTGGTTGTGCTGGTGGTGCTGGGGAGGGCTGGGGATTTCTAACCCGCTCCTCTTCTGCCTGTTTCATTCCATCTTTGCTAAATGTGACGACTTTAATTTCCTTCCCATCCTAGCAACATTTTTTTTTTCAGAAAACCCAATATAGATCCTTTCTATGCGCCACGTGAACAAGCCTTGTAACATGCTGTTTCTATTGTTTTGTCTAAATATACACACCTCCTCATCCCCCCTGTCTCTCCTGCTTTTCTCATTGGCCTTCCCCAGCAATACATTCAATGCATTCAAAATACTATTGATTTCTTGTCCGACCTTCTGTGATAGCATCCTTTGGAAGGTTATTCTGTCAAAGGAGGCTCTTTACGAACAAAAGTGTCACAGAAATTGCATCTTGAATATGAAATGCCAGATAGAGGCATAAATATTCCACTGGTGTGGCTTATTCTATAAACTTAGAAAATAATATACAAAATAAAACTGGAGCAGAAAATGGGCGTGCTCAGTTCTCACTGAAGCAGGATTTCAGCACCTTTGTATCCAAGTGCACAATTTGGCCTGTGTTTTACGGGTAGGGGGTTGTTTTCATCCAATGAATGAAAATCTAAAAATTCAATTTGGGAGGCTCCTGTTGGATTCTCTGCAGCCTGAGGAGCGTTGCCGTGTGTGGGGGGTCCCACAGTCTGATCAAGCCCACCTTTCCTAGTCTGCTCCAGTGAAATGCAACAGTGAAAAATCAATTTACATTTTTCTCATTAGCAAGAGAAAATATCACCAAGCCATTAGCAATAGGGTAAAAAGTATTTTGAGTGAGGTACTTTTATAGAGGTTATGATGCTGGTTTTAAAATTACTCTTTTTCATGCTTTAAGCTTGAAAATTATCTTCTCCATTAGTTGGTTGTGCTCTTTCATGCCCTGTTTTGTTTGCTTTGGGGCTGGCATTTTTGGGTTTTGATATGTTTGTCCTGTTTGCTTATTTCCCCACCAGTAAGACAAATAGTGCCTACGCTGTTTTGGCAAGAGGAATGGCAAGTGAAGCTTTATGGGACTAAAATATTGTAGCTTTTCGTAGAAAAGGGAGAAAACCTGTTTGTGCAGAAGGGTTGGATGTAACCTTCCCACAACGCGTGCAGCGTTCAGTGACTGGTGGAGTCTCTCACCAGGCTCTAATGAGAATAAATTCAATTTCTGGCATGAGCACCCTGCCTGTCCCTCTTCACTGAACTGTGCCGGGCTCAGAATTGTAACGCACCGACGGTACCCGGGACAATATTCCTCAGAGAAAATGATTTTGAATGCAAAGGTGTAGGGAGAACATCCTGTCTGGTGTGCACAGGCAACGTCTGCAAATCAGTGTATGGGCTTTAATTTTAGATGTGACAAGGCAGAAGGTGAATGTAATTTTAAATGCAGCTGTCTCGCTTGTTATCCCAATGCTGGAGCAGTTCATTATGAGGCAGTTGGAAATCTGGAGAGGAAGAACCATTTAATTGCCAGTAGGCTTTAGACTGAAAGTAGGATTTTTTTTTTCTCCTTATTTACACTTCTGGTAATCCATGGAGCTAATCCCATCTATAGAGGGTTGGAGTGAAAAGGGAGCCAGGAGTCCAGTGCTTTTAATGGCAGCCATTCGAACTGTTGATGCGTTGTGTGTGTTTGTGTTTCTAACCGTGGAGCTAATTTTCCTAACGAGGATGGCCATCTTTCCACACCTCCTTTGGCCCCTCATTTGTCTGCATGGCAGTTCCCTGCCTTGCATAGCCGGATACAGCCCTTCTTTGCTTTGCTGAGTCCCTCTCAGCAGCCACGAAGGACCATCCTGGGATGTCCATGGGTTTGGGCAACCCTCTCTCTTGGATTGTAATGACCATAAATTGCATGCCTGCAGGAGAAGCTGTGCCTGAAGATGAGCAGATCAGCTCAAAGGACCAGAAGAACCTGGAGCCTTGTGATAACACCCCAATTATCGACAACATCACGCCGGTCGTTGCCAGCATCTCGACAGAGGAGAAGCAGAAATATGATGAGGAGATTGCCAGTCTCTACAGGCAGCTGGATGATAAGGTGTGAACTTTTGGGTTGACTCCATTTGCTGGGTGAAAATGGAAAACTAAGCCAAAATGGGTGGGTGTCTCCTTGTGTTTTTGGAGCACCATCAGCTGGAAAATGTTCCAAAGTTCAAAACACTGTCACTGCATAAAACCAGATCATGTCAGCTCTGTGCCCCTGTTCCCTCTGCAGATAGTGTTTGGGGGTGTTCTCCATGAAATCAGAGCCAAATTTGCCTTTAATTTTAAGGGCTCGGTACAGGCTTTTCAGCACTCTTTTTCTTCAGTGATTTTTGTAAAATCCCTCAGCAAACTATAACATCATAGAATCTTGGAGTCATAGGAGAAAGAAAAAAGGGAGACAGTATCTTAATATTTTTTCCAGATGTATTGTGTATTAGAATTTTAAGGGAATAGATAACCATCCCCTGGGGCTCTTTTGTTCCTATTGTTCTAGCTGTGAATGCTGCCTGGAGTGCAGGTGGCTTATTTATTTATTTGCACAGCTTGAAATACATCATTGGCACTTAAAGCTATCGGCCATACATTTACTGAGCACTTGCCATTAATGGCTTTGGCTCGTGTGAAGATAAGTAGTCGGGGGGGGGATGGCATTCAAAATAACAGTAAAGGTCTTTAAGAAATTACAGCTTTTCTTTGATGGAGAATACAGCCCCAGTAGCAACCCCTAGCTTTTGTGTATTGATTAGAAAAAAGAAAAAAAGTCAGTCATTCTTTCACTTTCCCTCATCAATAATAGCAAGGCCCATTGAATTATTCTCGAGGGAAATAGCAGCAGGTTTGAGTTTCACCCTAGAAAACATGGGAAGCATAATTTGGTGTGTTACTGCAGCACTATGGGAAATGGGAAGGTTTTTGATCCCCAAAACAAAGCCAAAATACTGCCATGTATAACTTGTAACAGTGTAGACCATTCTCGTGTTGTATCTGGGAAATGATTTGATGTATTCTACTTGATTCCTGTATTTTTTGTCAAAAATCTAGACCATTCTCGTGTTGTATCTGGGAAATGATTTGATGTATTCTACTTGATTCCTGTATTTCTTATCAGAAAAATCTATTGGCATGCTTGTCAGTGAAACACAAAATACCAGCTGACTCTGAGAGGGTAAAAGCAGTGATTTATCTTTAGTGTTCCTTTAGAGAAGGAACAAGAAGAGATGGACTTGGTCAGGTCCTGTGCTTGGTGTGCCTGTTGCAGTTCGGGGGAAGGACTTGAAGAGTGGCACCCATCATCATTTCTCTTCTATATTTAAAATCAGTTCTTACCCCTGAGGATGCTGTCTTAACAAAGACGTTGAAATGCCAGTAAAATTGGATGCCTGGCTGTGCATTACCTGAGAGTGTTTTCTTCAAGGGCTGTGATGGAGTAGGAAAATACAAATTCTGCAGTTGAGGGTCCAAGTTCTCTGTTGTGGTTTGAGCTTCCTCCTTCATTAAAGCGGTTCAGAGCTGTGACCTTAATAAATCTGTGTCTAATGGTCTCTCTTCAGCTGAAATTTGGAGACAGAGAGAGAAAGGGTGTGCATGTATTTGTATATCTATAAAACATCACATACATTGGCAAAGCCTCCTGCGAATTATAAGGTGCAACTCTGACCGCATTGTTTATCATCAGGGACACCTCTCCTTAGGTATGAGAGGCTGAGAGAGTAGGGATTGTTCAGCCTGGAGAAGAGAAGGCTCTGGGGAGAACTTTAGCCCCTTCCAGTCCCTCAAGGGGCTCCAGGAAAGCTGGGGAGGGACTCTGGATGAGGGAGGGGAGCCCTAGGAGGAGGGGGAAGGGTTTGACCCTGAAAGAGGGGAGATGGAGCTGAGATGTGGGGAAGAAGTTCTTTGGTGGGAGGGTGGTGAGAGCCTGGCCCAGGTTGCCCCGAGAAGCTGTGGCTGCCCCATCCCTGGAGGGGTTGAAGGGCAGGTTGGAGGGGGCTTGGAGCAACCTGGTGTGGTGGGAGGTGTCCCTGCCCAGGGCAGGGGGGTGGAACTGGATGATCTTTAAGGTCCCTTCCAACCCAAACCGCTCTATGATTCTGTGATAAATACCAGAGACAGCTGCATGTATACATTGCTTTTACTGTATAGCTCTATGTATATTTTTCTCTCCTCACATAGTACTCAAACCTGTACAAGGTTTGCTATGGCATTATTCTTGCTTCTTTTCTAGAAAGAGGAAATAAAAGTGACCAAACAAGAACCGCGAAAAGAAACTAAAAGTCTCCAACCTTGTTTCATTGCAGGATGATGAAATCAACCAGCAGAGCCAGTTGGCTGAAAAGCTCAAGCAACAAATGTTGGATCAAGAGGAGGTAAAAAACTAAAAAACAGAAAAATGAAAACCCTTATATTTTACTCATGAGCCCCTTGCTTAGTGATTCTGTCACAGTTATTGGCTAAATATATTCATATTAACTGGCTAAAATTCAATCGGTAGGAGAAAGCTGTGTGACAGCTTGGTTTAAAATTCAAATTTCTTAATATCCTCAGAAGAGCATTAAGCCTTGATAGCTCCTTATAACAGCAGAGCGTCCTGCTGGGCAGTGATGCTGGATGTACCAAGGAAGGAGTGCAGCCAGTATTTTTTCACTTCAAATGTGTTTTTCAATAGGTCTGTATCCTTTCAGGTATCCAGACACTATGGACTGTAGGTGGTTAACAGATTTCCTAGTTTGACAGTATAAAGATTAGTTCCTGGTAATGTTCATTACATTCCTGATGTTCATTATTTTGGCAATTAGAGCCACTAATGTGAGAAATCTGTCAGACTGAAAAATTGATTATCGATGCTGCCACAGATTCGCTTTATAAACTTGGATTTCTCGCTTTAAACATTTTATTTCATTTTTTCCATCCATAAAATGAATGTGGTTTTTAATATGGGGAATATGATCACTAAATTTACAGCCAAGGCACTTCCTTATCTGCCATTTGTTTACGAGAGGTTTTGAAGATGTAAAATCTGGCAATAACACTAAATTACCAAGTGCCCCAAATGTTGCTGTGATAATTCTTAGAAGATGGTTTTATGCTGGTTTTCAAACTTCACTTGTCATTGCTGTTCCAAGACGTTGGTGTCTCTTCGCCGTGGTTCCCTAGGATTCTCCCAGCTGCCCGAGCCTCTTCCATTGGAATACAGCATTATTCTGGCTGCTTTTTTGGGTGTGAAACCTCTCTTGTAATTGAAAAATGATTCTTGTCTATGCCTTAATCCTTAATCAAGTCCTCAGAAAGGGTTTCCAAGGTTTGGCTCCTCATCAGGGCGAGAACAAGCTATGAAATGTCTGTTACTCTTCACACCTCCTGCCACCTTTGGGGACGTGTCCTCACTGCAGGAATTACCAGCTTTATTTTACTCTGTGATTAAGCTCTTCATTCACTTGCCACAACCTTCTTTTGATTACTCTGTATTACATGCTCCCCGCTCTATCCGTGGCTACACAAATGTAACTCAATTTTGTGCATTCTCAGCAGCATTATTTTTGGATGTGTGTTATTTGCACCATCTCACTTCTCCCAGCTTTTCTACATCAATGTTCTCATCTAAAGCTTATTTTCCCTCACAGTTTTTCTTGTGTCTTATTTTTTGAGTGATGTGCATTCCTTTCGTTGTGTTGCTTAAGTGGGAGCATGCTGTACCCTGGCTTGTTCCCCACCCTCTGTGTTCCATACTCAATATTACATCTGGAAGATGAATCAGTTTTTTGGTGGTCTCTAATTTTTGCCTTACAGACCACTTTTTCCTCTTCTTTTCACATGTTCTACTAAAGCTTTGCTGACTTCTGAAGTCTCCGCAGCTGGTGTTGCACCAGAAGGTTTTTAGCTGCTTCATCTGTTAAGCTTGCCCACCTCTTACCTCTGAAAACCAATGTGATGTTTTTATTTTCTTCTTTAAGGGTATTGAATTAATTTTTCAAGGTTTTGTCTTCCACACGTAAGCTTCTCCTGGATCTACCTGTTCCGTCTTAGAGCCTGTGATTAGCTCCCTGATAGATGTGCTGCAGAGCAGCTGCCTCACTCTGCTTCCCACTAATTAACCAGAGTACTTTTTTCTGCTTGATTAAGATAGCAGGTTAATTATAAATCTGAGGCCTGCCACAGATGGTACTGCTGATAGGGGTATCTTTTGGTACCCTTTCACCACTGGCTCTTTCTTAGGGTGGGTGTTTTGGGAGGGTGATTCTGAATCTTCTCATGTGCTGTGAGCAGCCATCATCTCCTTCCCTTTGTATAATGTGTTATTAATAGCCTTTATAAATTTTGGTATAAATCTTCTCATGTGCTGTGAGCAGCCATCATCTCCTTCCCTTTGTATAATGTGTTATTAATAGCCTTTTTAAATCTTGGTCTATTTTTCCACATTATACCAGCGAGAGTCTTCCAGGGAGCGGTGTTTATGCTCTAGGTGATATATAACACTTCCCTTTACTTGAAGTCGCAGTAATATTCACACAGAAAATTTCTTAAGTAAATGTAAATAATAGTTCCATCTGTGTTTAGTAGAAAGATTATTTTAAGCTATTTTGTTGTTTAAATATTTACATGCCATCTGGCTTTGGCAATTCAGTGGGTTTTTCCGTAACGTGAGTGCACTTCTGAGGCTGCAGCGTTACCAGTGAGATAAATTTCTCTTACATCTGAATCCTCTCTTCGCCACTTTGGGCACGTGCCAGCCTCTGAAGCTGCCTGCTTGGTTTCCTATTTTCCATTAGCACTCTGAGCCAAAAAAAGCAATGTCTTCTCTGACATTCTCCTTTTAGGTGGTCCGTTCTAGAGAGACGTTTCTGATTAGCTTGGGGTCTCGCATGCAACTCCTTCATGGCCTGGGAGCCAGTGGACAGTGGTGGGACAGGTCAGGAGAAGTCCACCCAGTGTGCTTCAGGAGGGCAGGTTTTGTTCTGCTGTCCAGGAACACTGCAGTACAGTAATATTATACTAATCCATATGTAGGAAGGCTTGGAAATGGTGAATTCTGTAAATCAATGTCCAAATTTGCTGTTATGATGCGCACGGATGCCTTCCTGTATCTCATGCACTAGTTTTATGTGGTTTTGCTCTATATTTAATGATTTTATGCAATGTTAAGTCCTGATTTTGTTATTCTCAAAAGTACAATATTAGCACTAAATATTAGGTGGCACCTTTTATTTCTTTTCACATTATTCTGCAGCATATGACTGCTGTTGAGTCTGCTTTTGTGCTAAGAACCCAAAAGCTGAATTTTTGAGACTTTAACATCTGAACAAAGATGGAATGGTGCAAGGACAAGGGAGAGGACCATGCAACTGGCCTCTTGCCATCAGCACTGTCACTGAAACTCTCAGTAGCAGGCACAGAGTAAATTTAATGAGTTTTACAAACTGGAAATACTCACTAGTGTGTGTGAAGTCTATATTTTCTTCCTGAGTTAATATTTTGCCTCAGCAAATATGAGCAGCTAATCTGTCTTCAGCATCGTGCTTCAGATGATATCTCAGAGTAATCATCATAGGTTTGCTTATCAAAGGATTCCTCTAATGCCACAAGATCTTTGAGACGGCCTCAGAGAGCCCTTTTACTTGGTTCAGCTCAAAGCTGTGAGTCTGTGTTTAAACATTTTACTTTGTGGTATTTTTTGGTCCTAGCTGCTCCACTGGATTGAGGGCAGAAAATTTATTTGGAGCTACAGCACTGTATAAAATAAATTCTCTGCCTCAGTCTTATGTCATAATAGGATTTGATAAAGATTTTTATTTTCATTAAAGTTCAAAGCCTTTTTCGCTTCCTTCAGATACACTTATACCTAAACTGATGGTGGTTTTGGGTAGAGCAGCAGAATTTTTCTCTCCTACTTGCTTTTTCTTGCATACAGCTTGTGTGCTCACATTTTCTTTCTCTCTTTGTCTGTTTTTGCCCTTTTCAACGTTGTCTTTTTCAATGAGTTCTTGGGTGACTTAACGCTTCTGTGATATCTGGTTTCCAGCTTTTGGCCTCCACTAGGAGAGATTATGAGAAGATCCAAGAGGAGCTGACCCGTCTCCAGATTGAGAACGAAGCAGCCAAAGATGAAGTCAAAGAGGTCCTTCAGGCCCTGGAAGAATTAGCTGTCAATTATGACCAGAAATCCCAAGAAGTGGAGGACAAAACAAGGGCCAACGAGCAACTGGCCGATGAGCTGGCACAAAAGAGTGTAAGAGCAAATGGTTTATAACCCCCGTTCCCTCCTCACCCCCTAATTCTGCATCTCCCCTAAAGATTTCCATGGGGGTAACCAGAAAACTGCTGGCCTCTGCCATTCCAAAAATCTTTCACATCCTGCTGCCAAGTATGTTATTATGTAGTATAAAAATTGGAGTAGCAGGGAAGCTGTTAAAAGATCCATATTTGCTGTTGCTCCCTCTCTCTTCTATCTTAATTAATAAAATTAAGAGAATTCAGAAAGTGCTCTGTGGAAGCTGATGGCAGATCATGGCTCTCTCGCAACCTCTGCATTTTGCACAGTGTAGCGGCAACAGAACTGAGTGTGAGAGCTGGCCATTCTGTGTTTTGGTTATTTAAAAACTCTTGTTATGCCAAGAAAGATGTGAAAATCTGCTTCATGTGAATTGCAGCATTTTATGTTTTTTTTTCTGGACTCTGCGCTGTGGAGCAGGAATTTAGTATAGAGTCAGGAGATCTCAAGGAGGGAATCCAGAAAACAATTCAGCTTTTTTGGCTGATGATCTTAAGGAAAAAATCTGATCTGAGAACAGTCAAGATTGACTTGCTAGCTTAATACATCCTTGTTCCTTAATTAATTATACAAGCTGAGGAGGTTGTTGATAACAGGTCTATTTTCATGGAAGACTTCGTTATCCGCTTCAGTGAAACAGATTACTGTGAATCCATTTGAAAAAAAATCGAGTTTTTCCTTCTATACCTGTTTCTCTGTGATTAACCTTCTTTGCGGTGTATTATGCAAATAAGATTCTTGCAGGATTTGCTACATTTAATAGATCTAAAGTCTCCTTGTTAGCAAGTGAGTTGTGAAAGTGGATTATGGCAGGGTGGAGTTGTACATGGCCGTACCTTGAGCCAGGAGGCACGTTCAGGAAAATACAAGACAAATACCATGTAAAGTAGATCTCTCAGAAGACCTGCTGCCTGGCTGTGGAGGTGGGGGGTAACTTTTGCTTTTAAACCTTTCCAGAGCACCCTGACGGCCACCCAGAGGGAGCTGGGCCAGTTGCAGGAGCTCAGTAACCATCAGAAGAAGAGGGCAACAGAAATCTTGAACTTGCTGCTTAAGGACCTGGGGGAGATTGGAGGAATCATCGGTACTAACGATGTGAAAACAGTAAGTCGGTGATCTTTGTTGTTCCCCTCCCACACCCCCCGCAATATAAAAATATTTGAGGTGGAATATGTGTGATAACAGCAGTCCTTCTCCCAGGAAACCGCTGTTTCAATCCTGGCTGTGGCACAGAGTGAAATACTGAAGAGATCTTTGTCTGGGCCAGAGATGGTCAGTGTCTGCGCACACAAACACCACTTTTATTCCCAGCTCAGTGTTTGAGGCCAGACTGATGCAGCCCATCTGTGTGCTGATGCATTTATTAATGCACATTTAGCCCTATTCCTTCGTTAGCTGGCGTGATCCGGTATTCCCAGAATCTGAAAAATCTATATTCGTGAGATTTGACTTCTGGGTGGCTACTTTTTGGTTTGAGGTTTTCCCTAAAACTGTTGTGTGGCTGAAGGTGATCAGTTCTCAAAGCCAGAGGTCTGTACAGATGGCTCTCCAGGGCACCTGAATGAAAAGATCTGCATGGAAATGGTGTTTTTCTGCATTCTGGTGTTTATTGCCTTCCGACAGCAGCTGGCTTCATCTAAGAGCCCAGGCTTTCATGTGTGTTTCTGAACAGAAGATGCTTTAAATGTCCTGATTTCCAGCATTGGTAAATTTGTGCTAGATACCACAGAAACATTCACATGATGGTAGGACCAGCTTAACTTCTCTATATTGACTAATGATTTTTATAGAGGAAAAATTGTAGAGGATCATTTTCCTGAGGTAACAATGGGAGTGAAGGTGGTTGAAGCAGCAGCAGCATCTGAACATGCCTGGAGGTGGTGTAGATTTTGACCAGCTTTGCTTTGAAATTTGTCTTCAGCCTGGTTCTTGTGTTTACGGACACGGTAAAGGAGGCAGCCATTCACTTTGTCGCACTTCTTGGGTTGTGGATGAAAAAAATGCTAAGCCTCAGACAAGATATTTGTATAGTCATTGCTAAATGGCACGTCTCTGATGGAAACTTTCCGTGGCCTGGAAGATCTTCCTGGTGACTTTAAATGGATGGATAAGATGACATTAGCACCAGGTGAAAAAGAGAAATTGCTAAAAGTGGTTAAGAAATGAATTCTGAAGATATATGCGATTTGCTCGCAGTACGTTCCATTTTCTTGCTTTTCATTCACTTCTCAGTTTTTGAGCAATGATCTTTCCCAAACTTTTTCTGAGGTCGAATGGAAAAGTGAGACTGTGGAGCCAGAGACTGGGAGTTGTTGATGTTCTGCGAAAGCCCCCTTAGATCAGCAGATGCTCCAGCCAGGTCTTACTGCAGAGGACACCATCCCTGCTGTCCCATGTGGTTATGCAGATGCCAGGCAAGACCAGGCTTTGCTAGATGTTACAGCAACCTCTGGTGGCCGTTGTAGTAGGAACTATAAGAGGAAATCTTGGAAAATGGAGGTGGAGTCTGTTTGATCCAAATTTTTATAGTAACGAAGATGTCAGCGTTTTATAGGACAGCTGTCAGTGTAAATAAGGCCAGATTGAGAAGCTTTTAGAAGAATAATTTCGAATTTGTTGGCAATTAGTATCTTCTCAAAGTGTGTTTAATTTCAGACCAGACTGAGGGTTTTGGAAGCAGTCGTGTTTTTTAGGCTGTTGGAAGAAGCTACAGCACGTGTTCCCTTCCCTTTGGTGCTGTGGGGAAAAAGGAGAAAAGCAGATGAAGTTGGTGGCCATATGCTCCCTCAACGAGAATCTTCACAGCCCGTCAGCGGGTTACATGAATTCAGTGGTTGAAGAAAAATCTTTAAGAGAAAAACAACCAAATACAAGGCACCACGTTAAACCAGGGAAGGAAATGATGTATAAATGGAATGATACTAATATTTAGAGATGAGAGCAGTTAGTTTCCTCTTGCCAGGTGAGATTTCCAGACCCATGTCTGTCTTACTGAAGAAGCACAACCCTTCGAGAGGAGACTTCTTTAAGGAGTACTTTGAAAATGCTCCTCAGCTTTCTTCTCCATGAAAGAAGGAAAATTTCCTGTGCTGGTGCCATGAAAAGGTTTCTCCAAAATACTGTGTTGCCATGATGGCGGGCTTGCTCACTTTAGATGTTGAACCACTAAAATGATGAAGCACACAGTGAGTGCAAGCCTTAATTTCTCATTTTTGAGGCTTATCAGTGAAGATTGTAAGAAACAGAGTGGCATAACCTCTTTAGAAGTGACCTAAAGGTCTGTGGGTACTTCCTAGCTCTAGAGACGAGTTTCACAGCAGGGAGACAGCTTTGCATTGACTTACCTGCAAGAACCACACCTTTGAGATTGCAATCTTCTGTGTGTTTAGTTAGCAGATGTCAACGGGGTGATTGAGGAGGAGTTCACCATGGCACGGCTTTACATCAGCAAGATGAAGTCTGAGGTGAAGTCCCTGGTGAACCGCAGCAAGCAGCTGGAGAGCGCCCAGATTGACTCCAACAGGAAGATGAACGCCAGTGAGAGGGAGCTTGCAGCTTGCCAGCTCCTCATTTCACAGGTATGTTTGTTCCTCCTTCCTCATCCCTTTGCAGCGAGGTTTGATGACTTTCTCAGCCTCCGTCCTCATGAAATGTGTGTGCTGGGAGTGAGAAATTAGAACTCGGGGACCAGTGAGGTGTTTCTCTTGTCTGTTTTGGTTTTTTTCTCTCTTCTCCTACCCTGAGTGCTGTGTTCAGTTTTGGGCCCCTCACAACAGGAGGAACATTGAGGGGCTGGAGCGGGTCCAGAGAAGGACAACGGAGCTGGTGAGGGGTCTGGAGCACAAGTCTGGTGAGGAGAGGCTGAGGGAGCTGGGGGTGTTCAGCCTGGAGAAAAGGAGGCTGAGGGGAGACCTTCTCGCTCTCTCCAACTCCCTGAAAGGAGGATGTAGCCAGGGGGGGTCGGTCTCTTCTCCCAAGGAACAGGCCAACCTTTAAAAAATGCAGTCTGTTTGGGTGTGTTAGCTCCTTTTCAGATCTTTGGCTATATTTTCTCCTGGTCATCGGCTCTGGACGTGGAGAGCTTTCTATTTTTCCTCCTTTATGTAGGACAGTAGCTGAATTCCTAGGTAAGGAGCTGTGTACTCACCTCTCATTGCTGTTCTCCATGTCTTTAAAGCATGAAGCGAAGATCAAGTCCCTTACAGACTACATGCAAAACATGGAGCAGAAGAGAAGGCAGCTGGAAGAGTCACAGGACTCTCTCAATGAAGAACTCGCCAAGTTACGGGCTCAAGGTACAACATTAAGCCTTGTGGCCATCATTTCTTTTACCAACTATATCTTAGAAAATTCAGTACTGGCTGAATTTTCAGTAGTGCTACAACATATTATTGTCTGCTTAATATTTTGCAGTGAAGACATAAAATTGTGATTCAGAATATTTGACACATCTCGCTTCCTTGTAGTACGTTGCAATAAAACCAGAATTATCCCTTTCAGCCTACCCCATCCACAAAATACAGAGAAACTTTAATTTTTCAAAAGAATCAAAAACTTTATGACAGGCTTCACCTTGTGCTTTAATGATGGGAGAAGTTAAAAAAAAAAAAAAAGGAAAAAAAACCCCTAAAATCTCCAAATACTTTAGCCATATAAGGAGACAAGGGTAGGTTGGAAAGGTGCTGGGTGGGCTGAAAACCATGTGGGTTGTTAGTAAAGGAAAAGGGGGTTTAGGGAGTGTGGTCACAGGTTGGGTGCTGCAAACCATGGCTGTCTCTGCCCCTCCAACACTGTCTCCCCCCACCCCTGCCGAAGGAGGAACTGTTTTTTTCTTAAATGTCTTGATGTAGCACATCCTGGAACTATGTGATTAATTCTCAATTTCAATTTCCAACTTCCAACAGAAAAGATGCACGAAGTCAGCTTCAAGGATAAGGAGAAGGAGCATCTGACCCGGCTTCAGGATGCAGAGGAGATGAAGGTAGGACGGCGTGCGGCAATTTGAGAGGGCATTTCTCAGTGAGATCGTTCATGAGGCCGATAATCAGGGTGTAATTTTGTCTTCCTGTACACATTGTGTGCTTTTAGCAAACACTTCCAGCCTCTGTCAGAATTGCCAGCCTCTGTTCAAAAACCTGACCTCATGTAATTGAGCGACCTTGGTGATGTGAAATTAGAGAACTTGTTAGTAATGAGGTTGTTGACCAAATTATGGAAAAAAGTAAGTTCCAGCCTGAATATCTGAGGTGTCTTCCAAGGCCAGTGTGTAAGCTGAGCCAGCTTCAAAGAGTAGAGAGCTTCAGTGGACTGTGTTTGCTGGATGGGAGATGCCTGAGTTCCTCAAATCACATGAGCAGATAATGAAATATCAGAGCCAGTACCCATACTTGAGAACAATTTTGTTATATATGACTGAAAACTGATATTTATTCACCTCTAAGTTACTCTTAATTTTTTGCCATTGGAAGTCAATTTGCTTTTTGCCTTTCTGGAAGTCAATTTGCTAAGTAGTGAATCAGGGTACTGGAGTTAATATAATTTAGGTACTGAAATTTGATAAAAAAAGAGGCCAGACCACTTTCCCAAATAATTTGGCAGGAATTCTGATTCTCTCCTAGAAACAATAATCAAACACAAATCTGTTTTCTGGTACTTTTTTCTTCCTTGGGAATGCAAAGAAGAAATGTTAGGCAGTTTTGTGTGCCTTGTGTTTCTGATGGGGTTGCAAATTGCAGAAAAGGAAAAATATAATTTAACAAGGATAGCGATAGAGGTTTGTCAGCTTCAGAACTTTTACCTCTATTATAAAAAGTTAAAGTTAGTAAAGCAGTTGTAGAATTATTCCTTACATTTGGAAGAAAAAAACAAAACAAGTATTTTAGTAGCAATCTAAAAAGATGCATTGAGTTTTTCTTACAACTTGAGATATACCTAATCCTAGAATTTAAAAACCCATCTATGGATAAACAATTCTCAGACAGGGAGAGGGTCTTTTACTGTGCACCCGTTTTCTTGATGAATAAACAGGTGAAATAAGAGAGGACTGGTAAAAACCAGTGTCATTCTTGGCACTTGATGTACTAAGACTTTGGCTTTCACATGCGGCAGTAGAAATTGGTGTACATCTGTTGCTAAAAAATGTCTGAATTTAACGCTTGGATGAGTTGATGCACAGTTTTGTAATCATAGAAGGATCTACCAGGAGGACTCCTGAATTGCCCTGTTCTGATAAGCATCACTCAACTCCAGAAGGACAGGTTGATTTAGCTGATAGGTATGAAGGAATCTTTGCTGTGTGTTGCTTGATTTCACGTATGGCTCTGGTTTTTGTGCTCTGCAGAAGGCCCTGGAGCAGCAGATGGAGAGTCACAGGGAAGCCCACCAGAAGCAGCTGTCCAGGCTGAGGGATGAAATTGAAGAGAAGCAGAAAATAATCGATGAAATCAGAGAGTATGTTCACTCGCTCCATCACTTTCTCTGTTCCTCTCCTCTTCCGTGACACTGTGGGGATGGTTTGGCTTTGGGTTTTTTTTTCAGTTTTAATTGATGTCTGTATATTTCGGTGTCTTACAGAAAGCAGTGTCCTTACATGCAACAGCCAACCCTGTAATTATTTTGCACGGAGAATTACAGTGCCTGGTTCTTTATTGTGGAGCTTTAACAAGCCCATAAAATTATAGAGAGGAAAAAGAAAGCGTAATGTTACACCTGCAGCCCAGCAGATACGAGAAGCTTGGAGGAGAACAGATTTTTAAAGATAAAAGTTTTGAGGGCCTCTTGTAGCAACTAGTTCTGCCACAGATTTTCTGTGAGTCTGGGTGACTGGAATGTGTCCCATTTTCCACATCCTTAACATTTCTCCCTGACACAGCAGTGGAACTCTGTTAGATACTCCAGCACTTGAAAAACGGAGGGGTTTGCTCCTGTACTCTTGGGTTTGTCAGCATTCGTAAAATCTAGGCAGCCCTGATGTAATGTTTGTTCTTTCACCATGTATATTTTGTGGCCAAAGACTAACAATAGGGAAATGGGAAACATAGGAAAGCGGGACAGAAAGATTTCAAGAACAGTTTGTGTCCTTTAAGATACAGGAAGCCAGCCACCACATTTAATTCTCTAATATTTTTACATAAAAGCTATTGTTCTTCAGATTCTTTATGCTTAATTTCTTTCAGAATTTTTCCAGTAGAGACTTACAGCTTTACTTTCTGTGTCTAACCCAGTTTTGTTCATGGAGATTTACCCACCCTTGTTTATGGGGTTCAGGACTGAGCTGTGCTGACTTTCCCTTTTGCATTTCAGTATGAATCAGAAGCTGCAATTGGAACAAGAGAAACTGAGCGCTGATTACGATAAATTAAAAATTGAGGACCAGGAAAGAGAAATGAAGCTGGAAAAGCTCATGTAAGTCGACAGTTTTCTTATCTGGTGTCCTTGAATATAGTGACTTTTAATGTGTCCACAGGAAATGTCCTAGTGAGAAATATTTGTGTTGAAATATTCACGCTGAAAATATCATTTCAGTAACAAAGCCAACATACAGTACTAAAATGATGACCAATTACTCCGTATTTTTACATCACAGGCTATTTAATAGTGAATTTGATACTTCCTGAATTTTTTTTAACCTATTTATTTATTTAAATTTTTTTAGAGCTCCGATTTTAGGAAATACCATAGCAAGAGTTAAATCTCCCATTTATTCATGCACAGCAAAAACAAACAAGAAAGAAGCTGGGACTGAGGGGGTGGGTTGGGCTTGGTAGTAAATCAGACATCTGAGTAAAAGCTTTTCCTGGAAATGAGAGAGAAAAATGTGATGTGTGGATCCAAAAAATGGAGATGGTGGCTCAGCCCTGTGAGAAACCTGCATATTTGGGACAGTCGAAAGCATAATTACAGATGCAATGGGATGTAGGATTTGCTCACCTCTGCAGATGTTCTACTCTGATTGAATGTTGATTGATTCTTGTCTGTCTTACATGACTTTTTGATTTGTGTTTAATGTTGTGATCTTTCTAGACTGCTTAATGATAAAAGGGAACAAGCAAGAGAAGATCTTAAGGGCCTGGAGGAAACAGTGGTATGTCTTAATTACACTTTATTGAGCTTTTTTCCTGTAGGTCTTCATCACTGGTGTGTTACTAAACACTTTCATCTGAGCCCAAGGAAATGACCAATTTATGTCATAACAAGTTAAATTTGTGCATTTTGCCAAATCATTGAAATTGAATTCTAAAATTTAAGATTAAGTACTATTATTGTTGCCTTCTGTGAATAACTATCACTGATAAGTCTAATGGTACTCTTATTTTGCTGTCCTTGTTCCTACCAACCACCTGAAATAACCAGCGTACAGAACAGTGTAGCTACAATTAGGTGATAAAGAGCTGGTTTAGGAGCATCATAAAGTGATTTTTCCTAGTGTTAACATGGTTATTAACTCAAACCCGGCATTTTCTCCTCTGTGTGATGCTCAAAAAATTCAGGTGATAGTGGCCTCAGGATCAGTTGGAGCTCATTACAGAAGCTGAACTATCTGGGTCCTTTCAGCTGTGGTTCCTGGTGGCTCCTCCACACATAAACCTTGTTAAAATAAACTCATATGAGGGACAGATTTAACCAGCCTTTCTGTTATGAACTTCACTGGTCAGATACTCCTGGAGCTTGCATGTAGACTCGATTGGCCCAATTTGCCAAATAAATAAGGCAGCTGGAAATCGGAGTTAGGCAGTACGATACCGTCAGCTTGAAGAAACCCAGATGGTATTTTTAAAATTTTGGAATAAACATCTTTGAACTATCTTACATTAAAATTTTATTCACTTCGTTAGAGTTATAATAATTACAGCAGCAGGAATTGAAAATCAAGCGTAGTGAATTCAAGGAAAACATGAGCCATCAAAAGCCAAACAGTGCCTCATCCCTGCCCGTTGGTGTGGGGAGACATCAGGCTCCAGGGACACTGCGTATTGTGTGGGTGATGGCTTTGAGAAGGAAGGGATGAAGAGTGGCTGAGTGGCTTTGGTGGGATCACAGCTTTTGCTTTGACTGGTTCTCCTTCCCAGCACTGGGCTGGTGAGGAATGATCAGAGGGCTGGAGCCCCTCTGCTGGGAGGACAGGCTGAGAGAGTTCAGGGGGTTCAGCCTGGAGAAGAGAAGGCCCCTGGGACAACTTGGAGCCCCTTCCAGTCCCTCAAGGGGCTCCAGGAAAGCTGGGGAGGGACTCTGGATCAGGGAGGGGAGCCCTAGGAGGAGGGGAAAGGGTTTGACCCTGAAAGAGGGGAGATGGAGCTGAGATGTGGGGAAGAAGTTCTTTGGTGTGAGGGTGGTGAGAGCCTGGCCCAGGTTGCCCAGAGAAGCTGTGGCTGCCCCATCCCTGGAGGGGTTCAAGGCCAGGCTGGATGGGGCTTGGAGCAAGGTGGTGTGGTGGGAGGTGTCCCTGCCCAGGGCAGGGAGTTGGAACTGTATGATCTTCAAGATCCCTTCCAACCCAAAGTATGATTTGATTCTATGAATCAGAAGAAGGGGGCCCCTGGAAGGGGGTCTACTGGGCATCACCCCGACTGGTAGCTCTTGGAGAGGGGTCTGCTCTGCAGCTGGGCTTGACTTCAAGTGGCACACGGTGCCTCTTCTGGGTACCACATCACTCCTGCACATATAAGTTGGGCTTGTAACATATGGTTTCTAGCAGTCCATGAAGGAAGCTTCTCCTTTTTGGTTTCTACTCAGTTTTGCCTTTTTTATTTGAAAGATAAAGCTAAAAAATTTGAGTTCAAAAGCTTGTAGTCGTGGTGGAGCTTATTGAGTTTAATTCCAGTCTGTGAATGGATAACCATAAAATGGAAAAGCTAAGGTTGCTCTTAACAACTTTGGAAAGTCCATTCGATAAGGCTTTGGTGCAGTATGACGTTGGGGTGAGCTGCTTATGCACATAGTTCCCTTTCCTGCACATGGATTAGTGCTTCTGTCCTCCTGGGAGTAGAAGCAGGGTTGTCACTTCTTGTGTCACCCTTCCAGTCTGAAGTTAGGCAATTATTTTGCTGAGCCTGGGAAGCTGATGCATTATTAAAAAAAGCATAATCTGGGGAAGTGCCCTTCTGTGAGCTGCATATATCTCTATAAGTAAATCACAATAAAAATTATCCACTCAAATCTGAGAAGAATTTTTACACCAGAGTATCTGCTTTCTCTTACTGGTTTGTGCTTTTTTTTTTTTTTTTTAAATAATTATTTTGATTCCAGGCAAGAGAACTTCAGACTCTTCACAACCTACGCAAACTGTTTGTGCAAGATCTCACCACCCGCGTTAAAAAAGTAAGACCATACTCTTCCCTTTTTTGCAGTATTCTTGAGGTTTGCTGGAAGCTTTTGGTGCATGTTGTTACAAAATGGGTTATTGTCTTTTTTCAATAACGGTGACTAACAAGATTAAAACTGTTCTGATGTTTATTAGCTTTTATTTGGTCCCAATTTGTTACAGAGAAGCCCTGGTGGTGAAGTGAAATGAACCAGTCTAATTAAGTTCAGTTACAAAATTCTCCAAGGTGGTATTGATGGGTACCAGAAATTACTCAATATAACTTGCACTAATTTACGCCACACTGAATACCACGGCCCTTTATTTCTCTGGGCTTGTGACTCTCCAGTCTTTTCCTGGCAAAATTAGTGTTTGGAAGAAATTAGTATCTTTTTAACTGTTGAAGAAGAGTCAGAACTGCATAAGTAGTCAAAGGCTTCACAATGCTCTTCAGTCCTTTAGAGTAGTGTTAGGGAAGAGGTTTTATACTTTTGGCTTTTTTTAATGTTGAAAACCCATATTACATAAAAATGTCTCCCAGGAGTGGAAAAAAGAGAGAAAAGGGATTTTCCCCTCTAAAATGTATGATTTTCCTGTTCAGGATGCCCTTATAATTGTTCAGTAAGAACAGTTTTGAATGGGTAAAATAAATTCTCTTTAATTTGGGGCTCTGGAAGACCTTTCTGCCTTTGAGAAGCTTAAATTTACAAAAAGCCTAAGCTTCCTCTGGAGTTTCTGCCTGGCTTTGCTCAGTGCTGCAACTCTCTGTGCAGAGTGTTGAACTTGACAGCGACGATGGAGGTGGAAGTGCTGCGCAGAAGCAGAAAATTTCCTTTCTTGAGAACAACCTGGAACAGCTTACGAAGGTTCACAAACAGGTAGGGGTTCTCCTTTTTCCCTTTTCTTCTTCCTTCCTTCTCTCTTTCCTTCCTTCCTTCTCTCATAGAATCACAGAAAGGTTTGGGTTGGAAGGGACCTTGAAGATCATCTCATTCCAACCCCCCTGCCCTGGCAGGGACACCTCCCACTAGACCAGGTTGCTCCTTCCTTCCCTCCTCCCTCCTCTCCTTTCTTCCATCATTCCAAAAAACAAATAAAACCCAGAATAAAGTGTTTGTTACTACTTTTTGTGCTGCTAGGCCATTTCCTAGATGGATTCTCTATTCCTAGTTTTGACTCTTGGTCTAAAGCTTCTCAGAGGGACTCGGAGGTGACTTGAGTGGAGTCAACCCACAGACTATGAAACCAGAAAAATAGAGATTTTCCATGCAGCCTAAGGGCTGGTGCCTCCCTGGGATGCTGAGGTTGGTCGTTTCTGGGCATGTCCATCTCCTGTCTCCTCCCTATTTCATGGAGTTCCTGTTTTCTTTGGAACTCTGCTGTTCAGACAAGGGCTATGGAGAGCCCTTCACCCTCGGTACCCACCATGCAAATGGGTGGTGAAGGGGATGTGTGGTAGGCAAGTGTTTTGGGTGTAGGTCAAGGAAAGAACCTTACCCTCTGCTTACTGGAAGTGTGTCTATGTCAATGGTGTGTGCATATATCTAGGAAGCATCTTGTTAGATAAAAGTGGTTCATTTCTGCCTCTTAGCAGGTGTCAGTATTTCTGAACTGTGTCCCACTGTTCAAGTGTGGAGCACCTGATTTTGATGCTTTTGATTTCATTTTTGAAGAGTGACGTAACACTCTCCAGTGCAGTTTTCTGAAACTGTTAATAGTGAGATTTGCTTTGAGATTTGCTTTACTTATTCCCATGGAAGTGCCAAAAAAGCAAGCAGTGCCGGACCGTGACAAGTGTCTACTAAGGTTCAGTATTTTGAGATTCCCAGTGAACAGATGGTTTAAAGACCTAGTTTCTAAATGTGGAAATCGGAACATGTTAGGAGTGTTTTTCCTTTTACTATTTTGCCTTTTTTTGCACTCAGTTCACGCATCTGCTGCATTTTCAGATACAGATTTTTATAGCTCTCCTTAGCGTATATTTACTCAAAACTAACTAGGAGGTCACATCTCATAAGAAACTTAGAGGGAAAGATGACATTGAATTTGACCTAAAAGTGATATAATCCTGTTTTTATTTCATATTGTAACTATTTCGTAGAACAAGGGTTCAACACTTGCAGGAAAAGCACATTGTGACAATTTTTACTTGGCTTTGTTTGTGTTTTTCTTCTGGCGCTCAGCCTGCACTGGCAGGTGTGAAGCATTTTGATTGTCAAGGAAGGTGTGAATGTTGGTATGTGCTGTTGCTGTAACATGGGAGTTAAATCACTTTCTTCCCTTTTCTCCAGAAAAGGGAGAATTGCTCCTTTGGAACAGTTTTCTGCTGACTTCCAGTAGTGGTGTCATGTATTCAGTAGAAATTGTACTAGATTTTCTAACTTTGCATCAGTTTTTCATTCATCAAAAAATCAGTCCTCTCTCTTGGCTGTTGTTGCATGTAGAGTTAGATGTTGTTCTGATAAAAATCACAGAATCACGGAATCTTCAGGGTTGGAAGGGACCTTTGAGATCATCGAGTCCAAACATACACAAAAAATCCACCCCAACAATCCCGGGCACTAGAGCATGCCCTGAAGTGCCACATCTACACGTTTCTTAAATAACTCCAGGGATGGTGACTCCACCACCTCCCTGGGCAGGCTGTTCTAGTGCCTGACCACCCTCTCAGGAAAGTAATTCTTCCTAATATCTCATCTAAACCTCCCCTGCCCCAACTTCAGACCATTTCCTGTGCTCCTGTCATTACTCCCTTGGGAGAAGAGACCAATACCCACCTCTCTACACCCTCCTTTCAGGTAGTTGTAGAGGGCAATGAGGTCTTCCCTCAGCCTCCTCTTCTCCAAACTAAACATGGCCAGTTCCCTCAGCCTCTCCTCACATGACTTGTTCTCTAGTGATAGACCTTGTCCTAAACATGAGGAGGAACTTCTTTGCTGTGAGGGTGGCAGAGCCCTGGAAGAGGCTGCCCAGAGAGGTGGTGGAGTCTCCTTCTCTGGAGACATTCAAACCCACCTGGACATGTTCCTGTGGGACCTGCTCTGGCAGGGGGGTTGGAGGAGATGATCTCCAGAGGTCCCTTCCAACTCCGTGTGATTCTGTGATAGACCTTGCTCAGGTTTGTATTTAATTGAGGAACGGCATGAATTTAGAGATGCACATAATCATCACATTTATAACTACAGCCTTTAAGTGATGCCGTAACGATGTTTGAGGCATTGATGTTTCTAGTTTACCCTTATGTTGGAGTAGGGATCAGGCAGGTGAGTATGCCATAATTACAGAATCATCATGGTTGGAAAGGACCTCAGAGATCATCAACTCCAACCATAAGATGGAGATGATGAATTTTTAATGATACCCAGTGTTCTCCAAAAGCCATAGTTAAGGACTGATGTTTTGAAATAATGAGATGATCAAATACAAGATGGAGATGATGAATTTTTAATGATACCGTGTTCTCCAAAAGCCATAGTTAAGGATTGATGTTTTGAAATAATGAGGTGATCAAATATTTGTGAAATTCAGGGTATTTCTGCGTTCTGCAGAGTTTCTGCCGCGGTTGCTCTCAAAGCCTAGAAAAGTGGGTATGGTAGAGGAGCCCTCACCCTGGAGTCCTGGAGCCCTCACCCCTCGGGATCAGATCTGTCAAAGTTTTTTAAATGGAATGAACTTTTTCACGGGATGTTTTTGAAACTCTTTTTCTTGCAGTTGGTACGTGATAATGCAGATCTTCGTTGTGAGCTTCCTAAGCTGGAAAAACGACTTCGAGCTACGGCAGAGAGAGTCAAGGCCCTGGAGAGCGCACTGAAGGAGGCCAAGGAGAACGCCATGCGAGACCGCAAACGGTACCAGCAGGAGGTAGATCGCATTAAGGAGGCCGTGAGAGCCAAAAACATGGCACGGAGAGCACACTCCGCTCAAATTGGTAAGGACATGGAGCTAAAGGGTTAGTGGTTGCTCACATACTTCATGGTTGGTCTGTTTGCTCGTGTTTAAATAGAGAGAGCTTTGAAAGCAGCAGAGCAGGGCAAACCGCGGGGTCTGCTTCTCTGCTGCCCAGGCATCTTCAAAGGCTTCCCTTTTTAATAGAATCTGCCCCACCTAAAGTTTAAAGCGCCTCTGCTATTTAACTCAGTAAATAAATGGCATAATGGGTCTTGTGTGCCCTTCTAGTGACCTGAAAACTTGTCTCTTTAAATTAGTCTCTCACTTTCTTCCTCCTCCCCCACGTACTCTCCTTCTGCTTTCATTCTTTCCTTGCCTTTCTGGACCTCGGCCCTTCCTCTCTTTTTCCCTGATCACTCCTCCTTGTGATTTAATTTGAGCTTTGTAGAGTCAAAAAACCTTCCTATATCATTCAAATGCTCGATCTATACGTAGGGTGCAATCTGAATGCATGAATACACTCAAATGGTATTTGAGATGGGGCAATTTTTGCAATGATTTGTTGGAATTGCTAAAGTAGAAGGTTAATGTTTTGGATGGCAATACTAATATTGGTGTCTTAAAACCTGAGAGAGAACTGGGTGGCACACAATGTTTCCTGCTGTATTCTACAGCTTGTAGAAAGCCATTGACAGCTTTGTCTCAACATCTTCTAAAATGATATAAATAGTCAAATTGTACATAGAAAGTACATCAGTGACAATAAGTGAGTCCCTCCGTTGTGTAGATAGTCCATAATCTTCACAGAGATGAGGGACATGCATGGATTGGTTAAATGGCTCTGTCATGAGCAGAAAATGGATGTATTTGTTGTTGGCCAAGGGAATTTGTTGTTGGTAAGGGAATGCCGTGTTCCTCAGAGCTAAATTACAGACTGCTCTGCTCCTTGTTTGGAAACACTGGGGTTTGAACCAGAGGAGAAGGTGAGGTAGAAAACCTTGTGTGAAAGCTAAATGTCTTATTTGGTTTCCTGCTTTTCCTCTGCAGCCAAGCCCATCCGCCCTGGTCACTACCCAGCGTCTTCTCCGACGGCTGTCCACGCCATCCGAGGGGGAGGGATGTCCAACTCCAGCTACTATCACAACACCAAATAAACGAGAAGTAAGACCAAACTCACTCACTCTTCTGTTCTTTCACTGATCACCCAGTTTCCTTACATTTCACTCTTGCTTTCAGAAGACCCACAGTATTTTTTTTTAAATTTATTTTTAGTAGGACTCATTTGCTGATATCTTAAGTGTGAAAATTAGTGATTTAAGTGAGTGCCTTGTTAGAATGCTCTGCAAGCTGCTGCTGAGACTTTTTATTATAATGACTTACCACTTGAAACTTTTTTTTTTTAAATAAACTGAAATGCTCTGAAATCTGTACTGAAATTCACACATAGAGGTGTGAAGCTCATGTAGTAAAAATAGAGTTCCAGAGGTTCCTTCTGCCAGTAGAATATTCTGCTTTCTGTACCATGAGTGTGTTCCCCTGCTGTGATATCCCAGCCTGGGACAGGGGGAGAGCGACCGTCAGTGGCAGCAGCACAAAGCTCTCCAAATTTGAGTGTCACAATTTGGCAAACTTTACTTTTCTTTCTTTTGCTTTGCGCTCTTATTCAGCCTTCAGGGGAAAAAAAAAAAAAAGTAAATATCTTACTTTAATTGCAAGAGTTTGAGGGTTTCTCCTAAGCAAAAATCTCCCCTGGAAAGATGAGCAGCATACTCCCATGAGACTGCTTCATATACCCTACCTCTCCCATCTATTTCTTTAAATGCTCATTCTTTTTGAGCCATTTGCTGTTATTTTAGATGATAACTTTATGTTACAGGCAAACTAGGAGTTGGATGGCAGTGAATGGCTGTGAAAAGCAGTGAACTGCTGAGTTGTCCCTCCAAGTTTGCCTTTTTTTCCTCCTTGAGGATTAATCCTCTCTTCTGACTCTCCTCTGATAGTATGTGGTTTCCTTGAGGCACTTGGCATTCTTGGGTGGTTTTTTTCTTTTCCTTTTTTTTTTTTTTTTTTTTTTGGAGAATGTTTCATGTCACGCAGGCAACCCATCCATCACGTCACACTCAAGCTGTTATTGTGTTGGTGCAGATTGTTTCTGTTCATTGTGTTTTCCACCAGCCCTGTAGCTGCGAGCAACATATTTTCGTTGTGGATGAATTAGGGCAAGTCTTTGCTGAGTGTTTTTGTGCATTCTGCACTGAAATTGTGGGGCAAGTCTTTGCTGAGTGTTTTTGTGCATTAGTTCATTCTGCACTGAAATTGTGACTTTTCCACCTCCCAAGCAAGGTAGTCTCTGTCTGTCTACTTCATTGCATTCCCACCTCTGGGAAAGAGCAAAGGGAAAAGAGTGAGATACAGAGGCATGTAAAATATTTTCCAACATTTATCATAACAGCTGCTCTGTGGGGAAAAAAGCTGCTACCTGCCTAAACTGGGTGGGCCTTTAACATTCCATCTGTTAGAAAATTAAGTGTAAACTCTAACAGGCCACATGTTAGGTATTAGCACATGTCAAGTGAACAACTGTAGATTAATGAAAGTTATTAACCAAACAAATAGACTTAAAACTAGATGGGTGTATTACAAAACAGGACTTTGGAACTCAATAAAAAGCAATCAGAAGGCATAGAATACCCACCGAATGTTTTAAATGCCCAAGTCCTAGATTTGAGGGTGGTGGAGGATGAGCAGGTTCAGGCCAGGCTTGGAACATGTTGCAGAGGAGCTCTTGGCCAACGGGGGTGGAGAAAAAGAAGATGAAAGATGTTAGAAGAAATGGGCTAAACTTACGGATTTATGGGTTCTGAAAAAATTAGGAAAAAAAAATTCTGAAAACCAAATGGAAGCCCTACAGGTTGGAATGAAGCCATTTAAAAAGTATGTATGTGGGGTTTTTTTCCTTAATTGACAGTAGTGCTCCTTTGTGGCTTTTGCCACTCTAATTTCCTTATTGCTGGAGATTGAGTTAAGGGCTGGCTGTGTTTTGCATTACATATTATGTGTACGGCAACAATTTGACGTGTTGTGGGAGCTGGACTCAATGATCCTTACAGGAACCTTCCATCTTAAGACCTTCTATGATTCTATTCTATGATTACTCCTTCAAAGCACTATATTTTAGGCTTTATAATTGGTTTTTAAAGTCAGTCAAGTTCTAGATTGTTTGCACACATCTTGAAAGGTGTCTTGAAGATGTAGTAAACGAAGGCGGGGCAGTGATTAAAGAAGGTCAGTTCTCATCATTTTTGGTCCTTTGGTTACGATTATTGGCAAATTGTAGTTATTTGGTTGCCAAAAGGATCTGGGGAGTATCAATAACCTGAATTCTGAGCTTGTTGGATGAAAGCAGAGGGCCTGAGGGAGAATATTAGTAAAGATACTACATGTGCAGGGAAAAATTTATACAGATAATTTCCGAAATATCATTGAGACATTTCTGTGCTCTCTAGAACTGCCCCATCCTTTGATCAGCATTCTGAGCTTGTTGGATGAAAGCAGAGGGCCTGAGGGAGAGTGTTAGTAAAGATACTACGTGTGCAGGGAAAAATTTATACAGATAATTTCCAAAATATCATTGAGACGTTTCTGTGCTCTCTAGAACCGCCCCATGCTTTTGAACGGTGCATTTCTATCCAGCTAGAATTAGAGCAGAACTTTCTTTTATATCCATTTAATAGCAGTGAAATAAAAGTGGGGTTTCTACATAAATATTTGCTGCCAAGTACCGTACCCTATCTCTGGAATGAAAATTCTATCCCAGGATGAGGGACAATTTATCTTACATTCACCCATCAGTCACAGTAAAGATAATAGACACTTACTACTGTTAAGACTGGTCAGTGATTATGATTCATTAACACAGTAACAGCCAGTGTTGCTTTTGCTGTTTTTATGAAGTTCATTGATAAAATTTCTTCTGCAGAGCTGGCCAAACCCATGAGACTCATCAGGACGAAGTTCAGACTTTGCCCAGTCTGGGCCACGTTGCCGCGATGCAACGAGCGTGATGTAAGGAGATGATTTCTCCCCCAGAAAGCGTAGCATTTGATGAGTAACAGTAGCAGATGGGAGCGAAAAAACATGTAGGTGTTAATAAAACCCGGTCCTGAATTTGCAAGTTGCCAGTATCTGGCTTAAACAGGAGACTGGGGAGGCGAAGGCGTGTCTGCAAAGCTCGGAGAGAACTCCTTGCTCTTTACACTGCAGAAAATACAAATGCCATAAATTTGTTACCTGGGGCATGCCTCAACCCAAGATTTTGGAAAAGATGAGGAAGGGAATTCAGTGAACAGGATGAGTGCTGCAGTACTAGTATTTTTCTGAACTACTTCTTATCCTTCTCTAAGAATTAAAGCACTGGAATTGCTACAACCTCGTAGTTAAATTTATGCCAGGATTTCATGGAGACGGCCTTGGGGATTTCAAAACGTATATTTCTATAGCGCGGTTTTGAGGCTTTTCCACCTCCCAAGCAAGGTAGTCTCTGTCTGTCTACTTCATTGCATTCCCACCTCTGGGAAAGAGCAAAGGGAAAAGAGTGAGATACAGAGGCATGTAAAATATTTTCCAACATTTATCATAACAGCTGCTCTGTGGGGAAAAAAGCTGCTACCTGCCTAAACTGGGTGGGCCTTTAACATTCCATCTGTTAGAAAATTAAGTGTAAACTCTAACAGGCCACATGTTAGGTATTAGCACATGTCAAGTGAACAACTGTAGATTAATGAAAGTTATTAACCAAACAAATAGACTTAAAACTAGATGGGTGTATTACAAAACAGGACTTTGGAACTCAATAAAAAGCAATCAGAAGGCATAGAATACCCACCGAATGTTTTAAATGCCCAAGTCCTAGATTTGAGGGTGGTGGAGGATGAGCAGGTTCAGGCCAGGCTTGGAACATGTTGCAGAGGAGCTCTTGGCCAACGGGGGTGGAGAAAAAGAAGATGAAAGATGTTAGAAGAAATGGGCTAAACTTACGGATTTATGGGTTCTGAAAAAATTAGGAAAAAAAAATCTGAAAACCAAATGGAAGCCCTACAGGTTGGAATGAAGCCATTTAAAAAGTATGTATGTGGGGTTTTTTTCCTTAATTGACAGTAGTGCTCCTTTGTGGCTTTTGCCACTCTAATTTCCTTATTGCTGGAGATTGAGTTAAGGGCTGGCTGTGTTTTGCATTACATATTATGTGTACGGCAACAATTTGACGTGTTGTGGGAGCTGGACTCAATGATCCTTACAGGAACCTTCCATCTTAAGACCTTCTATGATTCTATTCTATGATTACTCCTTCAAAGCACTATATTTTAGGCTTTATAATTGGTTTTTAAAGTCAGTCAAGTTCTAGATTGTTTGCACACATCTTGAAAGGTGTCTTGAAGATGTAGTAAACGAAGGCGGGGCAGTGATTAAAGAAGGTCAGTTCTCATCATTTTTGGTCCTTTGGTTACGATTATTGGCAAATTGCAGTTATTTGGTTGCCAAAAGGATCTGGGGAGTATCAATAATTTGAATTCTGAGCTTGTTGGATGAAAGCAGAGGGCCTGAGGGAGAGTGTTAGTAAAGATACTACGTGTGCAGGGAAAAATTTATACAGATAATTTCCAAAATATCATTGAGACGTTTCTGTGCTCTCTAGAACCGCCCCATGCTTTTGAACGGTGCATTTCTATCCAGCTAGAATTAGAGCAGAACTTTCTTTTATACCCATTTAACAGCAGTGAAATAAAAGTGGGGTTTCTACATAAATATTTGCTGCCAAGTACCGTACCCTATCTCTGGAATGAAAATTCTATCCCAGGATGAGGGACAATTTATCTTACATTCACCCATCAGTCACAGTAAAGATAATAGACACTTACTACTGTTAAGACTGGTCAGTGATTATGATTCATTAACACAGTAACAGCCAGTGTTGCTTTTGCTGTTTTTATGAAGTTCATTGATAAAATTTCTTCTGCAGAGCTGGCCAAACCCATGAGGCTCATCAGGACGAAGTTCAGACTTTGCCCAGTCTGGACCACGTTGCCACGATGCCACGAGCGTGATGTGAGGAGATGATTTCTCCCCCAGAAAGTGTAGCATTTGATGAGTAACAGTAGCAGATGGGAGCGAAAAAACATGTAGGTGTTAATAAAACCCGGTCCTGAATTTGCAAGCAGGACGAAGTTCAGACTTTGCCCAGTCTGGACCACGTTGCCACGATGCCACGAGCGTGATGTGAGGAGATGATTTCTCCCCCAGAAAGTGTAGCATTTGATGAGTAACAGTAGCAGATGGGAGCGAAAAAACATGTAGGTGTTAATAAAACCCGGTCCTGAATTTGCAAGTTGCCAGTATCTGGCTTAAACAGGAGACTGGGGAGGCGAAGGCGTGTCTGCAAAGCTCGGAGAGAACTCCTTGCTCTTTACACTGCAGAAAATACAAATGCCATAAATTTGTTACCTGGGGCATGCCTCAACCCAAGATTTTGGAAAAGATGAGGAAGGGAATTCAGTGAACAGGATGAGTGCTGCAGTACTAGTATTTTTCTGAACTACTTCTTATCCTTCTCTAAGAATTAAAGCACTGGAATTGCTACAACCTCGTAGTTAAATTTATGCCAGGATTTCATGGAGACGGCCTTGGGGATTTCAAAACGTATATTTCTATAGCGCGGTTTTGAGTCAATTCTTACAGTTTAATCATAGAATTGTAGAATGGTTTGGGTCAGAAGGGACCTTGAGGATCATCTAGTTCTACCCCCCTGCCCGGGGCAGGGACACCTCCCACCACACCAGGTTGCTCCAAGCCCCATCCAGCCTGGCCTTCAACCCCTCCAGGGATGGGGCAGCCACAGCTTCTTGGGGCAACCTGGGCCAGGCTCTCACCACCCTCACACCAAAGGGTGTTATCTAATATAATTCTGCCCTCTTTCAATTTAAAACCACTACCCCCATCCTATCGCTACACTCCCTGACAAAGAGTCCCTCCCCATCTCTCCTGGAGCCCCTTCAGGTACTGGAAGGCTGCTCTAAGGTCTCCCCGGAGCCTTCTCTTCTCCAGGCTGAACAACCCCAGCTCTCTCAGCCTGTCCCCACAGGAGAGGTGCTCCCATCTTTCCTGTTTTAATACAATTAGTTGAAATGTATTCTTCAGTGTAAATCTTACAAAGTTTTTTTAATTTTGTGGAGAGAAGTATTCTGATAAAACTTTAAAGAACAGCACTCCCCACGCGTGAACGGCTGCAAATCGTGTCATGTGGGTGCCTGTACCTGAGTTTCTCTGCTGGGCAACTACAGAGCTCAGTTGTAAATTCTGTAAAGTTTCTAAATGTAATTAAACACAGCGCAGGTTTAAAAAAAAAGTCAATATTAAGTTTTTTAAGCAATACCAGGAATTAAAAAAAGAACAACTATGGTATGTATTTTGCTTTAGATAGGGAAAAAAAAAACACCCCAAAGCAAAACCCAAATTGTTTTGACTGTTTCTCATGCTGCCCCACGAAGTTTACGTCAAAAACTGCACAAAACTGTCAAAGTCACTGTACAGTCTGGTTTCATTGATGGAGACACTGAACAGTACTGGTCCTAGTATGGACCCCTGAGGGACGCTACTGGTCATCAATCCCCATCTGGACATTGAGCCGTTGACCACTACCCTCTGGATGTGACCGTCCAACCAATTCCTCATCCACCAAACAGTCCACCCATCAAATCTACACCTCTCCAGTTTAGAGAGCAGGATGTTGTGAGGAACTGTGTCAAAGGCCTTACAGAAGCCCAGATAGACAACATCCATCGCTCTTCCCTTGTCCACTGATGTATTCACTCCACCATAGAAGCAGAGATCATCTTTGAGTCTGCTTTAATTACATCTTAGAATCATAGAATAGAATCATAGAATCATCTAGGTTGGAAGGGACCTTCAAGATCATCTAGTCCAACCATCAACCTAACAACCAACCATCAAGCCCAACAAGCCAAAAAAAAACTATCTTGGACCTCACCTGGCTCCGCACACAGAACAGAGGGTCCGTGGCAGAGCTCAGGGAGAGCATGGATGATAATATTCAACACTTGTGGCTTTGCTGGAGAGCACTTCAGGTGCCATATGCAAACTTCTAGGTTTGCTGTCCCCATTTTTGCGAGTCCTTTCTCAACGGTTGAGCTGGAGGATGCTCTGGAGTCACCAGACCTGTGGGTGAGCTGGCAAACCTTGGACAGACAGACCAGTAGCAGAAGGGGTGATGATGTGTGTCCTTCCCTATTACAAATCTGAAGGAACCTGGTTATCTGCCTTCCTAATATCTGCCCAAACTTGTCTGACACCTCATTTCAAAAGAGAAGGAAAGGACTGACAAGAAGACACACTAACGAGTACTGGTCCGTCATGGCCTACGGAAATTATTAAAGCAACTTGCACTGGGATCTGTATTTGTGAAATATGTCTGTCTGTCCCTTATCCTGAAGGCTCTGGTATGTTCCCAGCACCTCCCCATCCTTGAGCAAGATGAATAACTATATTTAATTAGCCAGACCATAGTTAATCTAGCCAATAAGATGCATGAATTAATAATCATCCTGGTTTCCTTTAAGGTGTTAATAAGGATGACAATTAGGAGCCAACTAGGACTCCCACCATTAATTTAGGGTAAATGTAAAAACACCAATGCATCAATATTTATGTATTTATTTATTTATTTTTATATCTTCAATATTGACAAAGTTTTTTTAAATAACTCTATAAGAAAATGCTTAATTGAGGAAAACACATCTCTCTTTGTAAGGCTGATTTGATATTAGCTAATGTACTAAAAAATGTGCTCAGCACATTCAGTTACTTATATGATGCTTTCCATATGGCTAATGAGAAATGTGTGAGAAAAAATTCAAATCCAGGAGTTTTTTAAAGCCCATGTTTCGAATGTTTTATAATGAACTTCAAATCACCTTTGTGCTTGGTAACGTGCCTTGAACTTTGCTTCTGGATGCAATTACTATTAAATTAGTGAGGAAGAGGCCAGTATAATATGCATATATGGTATATAAAATTATACAGTATAATTTTATAATATATTACCAGGATATTACATAAAATATTTTTATATATTTCTGTAAACACATAATCTTTATATATGTAGGGGTGTATATATATATTAGGAAAGCACCTCTCTGTCAGGAGACATATAAAACAGAAAGATTGCTTGGGATTTGTATTTTTTCAGCCTTTCATTTTATAATAAGTTTTCAAACTCAACTGCAGTGACTCTCCTTACTTGTTGCATATGATACTCACACGTCTGCTCTTCAGCGTATCCAAGTGCCGAACCGTGGAGAGAAAATTCCTATTAACAGAGAGATAAAAGGAAAAAAAAAGTTAGCCCTTTAGATAGTGTTTCAGGCTGTATTTAGGCGAGACATAACGCTGTGCTACAGGTGGCAAAGAATGCATTTCATCAAGAGAATTGTTTCCTTATGACTCTGCCAATTTGTGGGCTGGAAAGACAGATCCAAGGAAACTCCTCTCCAAGGGTTAGAAACTGAAACCCAGATTTCATTAATTGTTAAAATTGGGCTTTACGTGGCTCTTTGGTTTCTTTGCATCCCATTTCTGTGCCTCGTAGGTGTCGGGTGATTTGCCAGGGCGCGCGTATCTTGCTTCCTCTAATTGTCCTTACCTTTCTTGCTCTCTCCTGACAGGTCAGTTCCACTTAGCATGCTAAGGACTGTCATTAAGTCACTAGCTTCTTTTTTCTCCCTTCCCCTTCCTCAACCCGATCCACATCCCCATCATCCTGCGCGTCCTGCAGCCATCTGCAATGCACCGGTCCCGGGTCTTTTGAGCTTCGTAGGATTCTCCACGTGTACAGAAGTGTTCGGCTCGACTCTTCTACAGATACTTGTACAATGTATTTAACATAACCATCTAAAGTAAACGGTAGGAAGTCTGCCACTCAGAATCTCTCACTGACTGCGTTTGACCCCTTAGCGCTGGTTTTAGGGTTGGGGCTTCTCCGATGCTTTCGCCAAGTCCTCTGTTTTGCAGCAGTAAATCCCGACTTCTGGCATCAGAGAGTTAATGATTCCATGACCAAGTGCCATCGAAGGCAGGTGATTGTGCTCTGTCATGACTGATTTACTGTATAATATACATATTATTTTATATTTTTAGGGGAAGAAAATGTGCTGCTATATGGTTTAATTTTACTGCTTACATTTTCAGAAGTAAATTTCCCCAAAGAACCATTTGTAATATCCTGATAAAAATCTTTGGACTGTATAAAATAACCTTTATTGCAGTACCTGGTAAAGATCAAACGGGATGCAGAGAAATCTGTTAGTATAGATCTAGGTTTTTTGAAGTTTGGTAGTTACATGAATATATCTGTGTGGTCTATCTGATTAAGATAATTAATTAAGATCTGATCTGCTTGTAGTTCTCCCTACGGTGGTGGGTTTTCCTGGAGTGTGATGGCTAGCCATGTGTTTGTAAGCGTTGTTCTCTATGAAATTTTGAAGGCTTTCAGAATGCTGTGGAAATCTTGTCTTGGAAAAGCTGACAAGCATCCTCCCCCCCCTTCCCTCCCCCTTTCCCACTCCCCTCACGCCTTCGGGAAGCCCCGATCCGTTCACTCAGGAATTCAGGTACCGGAGTGAACTGTCCCCTACCAGAACAGACGCTACGTTAAAGAAATAAAAATAAAATCCTCCAAACCTTACCCCTTCCCTTAAAAAAAAAATCATAGAGAGTCCTAAAGGAGGCAAAGAGTCGTCTGCTCGAGCTGTCCTTTGCAGATCAAATTTGGGAATACGCTTGTTAGGAGGCGGAGAGCGTATTGCAGGGGGAAAAGGATGTCATGAGAAGCTCCACCAAGCAAGTGGTGGTAAGGATGAGACCCCCTTCCTTCCCCTTCTCGGATCTCTCTTGCGTGCCAGAGGGAAAGTTTCCATCTTCTCAGCACTGGGGGGCACTGGAATCGTTCTGGGAAGGTTCCTCAGGCAGGCAGAAGCTCCTGCTCCTCCTCCTGCTTCTGTGCCACACACACATATCCTCCTCCTGCACCCCTACCTCTAACCACGCAGGTTCCAGGAAGGGTACGGCCCAGCATAGCCCTCTGCTCTTGTTTTGCAGACATTTGCTCATATTTAATTTAAGATTGACTTTTTTTTTTAATTATTATTTTTATTTTAATCTCCGGACGTGTTTGTTAGTAGACGTAGAACTATTTAGTGCTCGGTGCAGAGCGTTTTGAAAGATTGTGAATTGACTTTAGGTATTTTTTTTTTTCTACTGAAATTAATTAGGTTGTTGCAAAGCGAGTTGAACTTAATTTAACTGTTGTTTTGTTGTTGTTTTTTTTTTTTTCACATTGCACTATTTTGGGGAGCGTTTTGCTAAAAATATTTAATGAAGTTGCAAATTTGCATGTATTTAATTTATTTTGTATTTTTCAAAGTTTTATATTTTCTTTCTTTATGTGCATGTGCACTGCCAGAAGAATGAACTGTGAACTTGCCATATGCAATCTTTAATAAAAAGTACTAATTGAGAACTACTCTGTGCTACCTTATCAGCCGTTCAGAGCTGAAATTTCTACCATGAACTAATAACGATCTTCTTGGTTTTGGTTCTAAAACACTTGTCTTGGAAAAGATACCCAACTTAATTGCTGTCAAGGATTTTGTACCGTAGGAGAACTTTGGTTCTTTCTCTGGAATTCATAGTTTGGTGCAGAATTAAGTTGTAGATGCAGCATTAGCTTAAAAACTGTGTGAAGTTCCTCGCAGCATCGCCCTCAGTTTGGCAGTTGAGAGGTCTCTCTTCGGCTCGAGTAATTAGTTACCTTTGACGTCGCTTAATTGCGCTAGTGCTGATCAGCCAGTCAGTTCACCTAGCAAAAATAACCTCAAGTTTCTCCAAGTTAACTTTTTACATCAAGCCGGGAGGAGGACTTTCTAGGAGTGAAACTCTGAAGGGATGCCTGAGGCTAAAATGCTCGAAAAGAAATACAGAAGGTGTTTACTCAATTGGAAATTATTAATTCCCTCAACGGAACTTAACTCTGCTTATGTATAGATTCTTGGTTTGTAAAGCCTATTTTAATTAGGCGACTTAAGTTTGTATTGCTGGTTTTAGGGTTGGGGCTTCTCCGATGCTTTCGCCAAGTCCTCTGTTTTGCAGCAGTAAATCCCGACTTCTGGCATCAGAGAGTTAATGATTCCATGACCAAGTGCCATCGAAGGCAGGTGATTGTGCTCTGTCATGACTGATTTACTGTATAATATACATATTATTTTATATTTTTAGGGGAAGAAAATGTGCTGCTATATGGTTTAATTTTACTGCTTACATTTTCAGAAGTAAATTTCCCCAAAGAACCATTTGTAATATCCTGATAAAAATCTTTGGACTGTATAAAATAACCTTTATTGCAGTACCTGGTAAAGATCAAACGGGATGCAGAGAAATCTGTTAGTATAGATCTAGGTTTTTTGAAGTTTGGTAGTTACATGAATATATCTGTGTGGTCTATCTGATTAAGATAATTAATTAAGATCTGATCTGCTTGTAGTTCTCCCTACGGTGGTGGGTTTTCCTGGAGTGTGATGGCTAGCCATGTGTTTGTAAGCGTTGTTCTCTATGAAATTTTGAAGGCTTTCAGAATGCTGTGGAAATCTTGTCTTGGAAAAGCTGACAAGCATCCTCCCCCCCCTTCCCTCCCCCTTTCCCACTCCCCTCACGCCTTCGGGAAGCCCCGATCCGTTCACTCAGGAATTCAGGTACCGGAGTGAACTGTCCCCTACCAGAACAGACGCTACGTTAAAGAAATAAAAATAAAATCCTCCAAACCTTACCCCTTCCCTTAAAAAAAAAATCATAGAGAGTCCTAAAGGAGGCAAAGAGTCGTTTGCTCGAGCTGTCCTTTGCAGATCAAATTTGGGAATACGCTTGTTAGGAGGCGGAGAGCGTATTGCAGGGGGAAAAGGATGTCATGAGAAGCTCCACCAAGCAAGTGGTGGTAAGGATGAGACCCCCTTCCTTCCCCTTCTCGGATCTCTCTTGCGTGCCAGAGGGAAAGTTTCCATCTTCTCAGCACTGGGGGGCACTGGAATCGTTCTGGGAAGGTTCCTCAGGCAGGCAGAAGCTCCTGCTCCTCCTCCTGCTTCTGTGCCACACACACATATCCTCCTCCTGCACCCCTACCTCTAACCACGCAGGTTCCAGGAAGGGTACGGCCCAGCATAGCCCTCTGCTCTTGTTTTGCAGACATTTGCTCATATTTAATTTAAGATTGACTTTTTTTTTTAATTATTATTTTTATTTTAATCTCCGGACGTGTTTGTTAGTAGACGTAGAACTATTTAGTGCTCGGTGCAGAGCGTTTTGAAAGATTGTGAATTGACTTTAGGTATTTTTTTTTTTCTACTGAAATTAATTAGGTTGTTGCAAAGCGAGTTGAACTTAATTTAACTGTTGTTTTGTTGTTGTTTTTTTTTTTTTCACATTGCACTATTTTGGGGAGCGTTTTGCTAAAAATATTTAATGAAGTTGCAAATTTGCATGTATTTAATTTATTTTGTATTTTTCAAAGTTTTATATTTTCTTTCTTTATGTGCATGTGCACTGCCAGAAGAATGAACTGTGAACTTGCCATATGCAATCTTTAATAAAAAGTACTAATTGAGAACTACTCTGTGCTACCTTATCAGCCGTTCAGAGCTGAAATTTCTACCATGAACTAATAACGATCTTCTTGGTTTTGGTTCTAAAACACTTGTCTTGGAAAAGATACCCAACTTAATTGCTGTCAAGGATTTTGTACCGTAGGAGAACTTTGGTTCTTTCTCTGGAATTCATAGTTTGGCGCGGAATTAAGTTGTAGATGCAGCATTAGCTTAAAAACTGTGTGAAGTTCCTCACAGCATCACCCTCAGTTTGGCAGTTGAGATGTCTCTCTTCGGCTCAAGTAATTAGTTACCTTTGACGTCGCTTAATTGCGCTAGTGCTGATCAGCCAGTCAGTTCACCTAGCAAAAATAACCTCAAGTTTCTCCAAGTTAACTTTTTACATCAAGCCGGGAGGAGGACTTTCTAGGAGTGAAACTCTGAAGGGATGCCTGAGGCTAAAATGCTCGAAAAGAAATACAGAAGGTGTTTACTCAATTGGAAATTATTAATTCCCTCAACGGAACTTAACTCTGCTTATGTATAGATTCTTGGTTTGTAAAGCCTATTTTAATTAGGCGACTTAAGTTTGTATTGCGTATTGTATATTCAACTTTTGTACCATTTTTAAGTCTTACACATTTTATATATAGAAAGGAAACCCCCACATCTGCTCTGCAGAGATTGAACCCTGTCTCCTGCTGTTTCCACTGCTCGATGCTTTCTTACTTTCTTTGCTCTTTGACCGTTGTGTTATATTTATTCTAGGCTACTTTTAAAATGGTGATTTGTAAAGTGCATCTTAAATTTCACACCTTAAAATGTCATGCATGGGACAGCTTTTGGTGGGAATACTGTTCACAAATGGGAAACGTGCTTCAGATGGAACTAAAGTGCATACTCTTCTTTTTTGCTAGTAATTAAAAAGCATTTCTTGCTCACCTGAGCTTCTCTCCATGATCAAATATCTTGTGTTTGTCCTTGAGTTCACGTTTCACCAACTTGTTTTCTCAAAAGCAAGGAAAGTCTTAAACCTGGAAAGATCTTGGCTGATACATTTTTTTAAGTTTGTATTTAACTCAACAAGGGTGAGAGCGGATTATCCTGAACATGTTGAAAACTAAAAAAATAAGTCACAAAAAAACTTCACTACGGTAATTTCTGCCTACAGAACCTTATGAGTTTTGTTTTATATGGCCTAAGGGACCAAGTTGCACGTTTGGTTGAAATGTTGATAAATAAGGCTTGGAAATATAAGAAATAAAGAATTTCAAGCTGAACATGGGTATTTAAACCAAATGGTCGTGCCGGTCCAAAAGGAAAAGGCCTAATCAGATTTTCCCTTATTGGAGGAGAGGGGCGTTGTGTAAACAGGAATGAAGTAGATCTCCATTGGGAATGGAAGGGATCCAAAAAACCAACGGGCAGGATAATCTTAATCTCCCCTTGCTTTGATTTTTTGGTCCTCACTGTGCCTGTGCGAGGGGCGAAGCCGGTTCCGCTCTGGCTCTGGCCATCCTGTCCATTGGGACACTTCTCGTCGAGGGAGAACCGCGGGGGCCGAGGCATTCTGTAGAATTATACCTGTCTAGTTTGTAAAGTGTGTAACGTGTACTGCAGATGTGTAATTCTCTGGGCTCTGTGTATCTTTACAGTAGTGTTCAATTTAGGAAAAAAAAAAAAAAAGAAATAAATTGTGGACACGTTTTGCTGGTAACAAGGGGAAATTTTTTTGCCATTGCATCAAACGATGCTGAAATGTATTAAAAACTCTCGATAGCAGATCTCACCCTCCTTCCCCCATCCCCTGGAGATAAGTCTTTTATCTTCGTTCTAAAATTCTATCAGAGATGGATGGATACACTGGCAGACTGCATGATGTATCATTCGAAAAACGTTAACAGTGGAAAATAAAATGGAACTAAACTTTGCGGTGTGCGTGTCGTGTGGCATCTCTGTTGGAGGGGTGCTCGGCCCTCGGCCTGTCAGGGTCACCCCCTTCCGTGGAGTCACCGTCCCAGGCCACCATCTGGAGTTAAGCCTTTCTTCTGAATCTCTAGAAAGTAATTAGAAGGCTTGGGAAATGGACACAGGGTTATTATTTTAATTTTTTCTATACATAATTGCATCTTCTCTACTACCTCTCCATGGAGATCTCCCTTCTTCATACTTTTTTTCAGTAGCCTGGATGATGATGGGGAGACTCTTCCCCTCACCCTCTGTGTGCACTTCCATTTTTATGGGAATATTACATTCAGCAAATGGAGTAAAAGTTCTTGCGTCTGTCCCGCCTCCCTTGAGTCCTGCTGAGGAGCTTTATAAAACTTATTTGCAATAATTATTACTCTTGAGTATTTCTCAATCATATTGTTATTTCTCAATATTGTTACATTTTCTACTCAGCAATGCAAACTGACGGCGCTCCGGAATTCCTGTAGCCATAGATTGCTCTGGTTTTGCTGCCGTGTAGATTTCTAAGGAGGATTATGTGGTTTTCCACCAGGATGTAACCTGTGCTTTTGCTGCTTTCCCTTGGGGCCTGGAACCCAACAGCACAGGAAGCCCCTTCCAGCTGGGATCTACTGGTTCCAGCTGGTGGTGACCGAGAAGACTCAGAAATTAGTCTGTTAAAAGTAGGAGTCAATTATTTCTAATTATTCTATTTTGATTATTCTACTGCATGCGGGATGGTGAGGTTTGGCTCCATCAGGGGCGAAGAGGCATTCCAATGTAGACCATTTATATTGATATATATTGATATTATTTATTTATATCATGTAGAGGGGGATCCCAAGCATTCCCCCTCGTCCTGCAGGGGAAGGCGGGCGCTGCACGGTGCCACACCATGAGTCAAAAAGATGCAGCCTTTAAGATCTCCCAGATA